AAGTAGAGACAAAGACACTCACTGGAAAGGCTTGTGGAGAGTTATTTTAAGAGGAGGCACGATGCCCCGGATGATGAGGAAGGGAGATCCCAAGACAGCAGCAGTACTGCTGGCCAAGAGATCAACCAGGATAGCCTGGCACAGATCAAAGGACTCTCGGAGCGATTTCTTCCTTTCCTTCCTTCGTCTGGCTGCACCACATGCCTTGTGGGATCTTAATTCTCAAACAGGGATCAAACCCAGAGCCCCGGCATTGACAGCACTGAGCCCTAACCACTGGACCGCCAGGGAATCCCCTTGGAGAGACTTCTTGAAGAAGATAAATTTGGCTAAACACCCAGTTGAATCTGATCACACTGAGATGAGAATTATACACCTGGGCACCCGGGAGAGAATTTAGGAATGAATTAGTGATAAGCACCATGGAAGACAGATAGATACAGTTATTAACTCCAGGGAAAACAAAAAAAAGGTGGTACAAGAAAGGAAAAGGCATCGCAGTACATTACATGACTCAGTTACCAACAGCTTTTAAAAGATCATACTAAAATATACATGGAGTATCGATCTAATCAAAATGTTGATGTAGTCTGAAGAGACAACAGGAAAAGAGAAAGCGTGTATATGTATGTGAGTAGCAGGGAAAGGGAGGCAGATGAAACAGAGACAAATCCTCACCTTCTAACTGCGAAATCAACACACAATGCCTAACAGGAAAAGTGAAAGTAGCATGTCATTTAGAAATAGGGAGATAGATCAAAACAGTGAGTGAAAGTGCTTTTCTCTGGGGAGCATGAAATGAGCGTGAAAATCAGGAGACTTTGTCCCTTTTGCCCTGTTTTGTTTTCTCTTTGTAATAAGTATTATTTTTAAATATTTATTTGGCTGTGCCAGGTCTTAGTTTCAGCATGCAGGATCTTTAGTTGTGGCATTCAGACTCTTAGTTGCAGCATGTGGGATCTAGTTCCTGACCAGGGATCAAACCGGGGTCCCTGCATTGGGAGCACAGAGTCTTGGACCACCAGGGACATTCCTGTGATAAGTATTTCAGAACAGCTTGACTCAAATTGAGTTTATAATTTTGGTAAAAATACAGACATTTAATAAAGGAATAGCAGCCTCTATGTTTTATCTCTCATTTGCCGCCTTGTCTGAGACAAGCCCAGGGCAAGACGGAGGACATATGGCAGTTTGTAATTATGCATTTACAGGATCACTTTGTTGTTTCACTAGCAGACTGTAAGCTCTCAAGGGCAGCCAGCAGACTGATTTGCTTATCACAGTCTCATCTGCACCAAGCACTCAGCAGGCACAGACTTGCTGAATGAATGATGCAATGGGTGAGGCAGATTAAGAAGTTAGTGCTCTCATTTTTACAAAAGGTATGCATGACTGAAGTGTTCACAGGGGAAATGGTCCAATGTCTGGGTCCTGCCTTAAAATACTCCAGGAAAAGAAGCCATGTGGAAAAAAGATGAAACAAGATTAACAAAATGTTTGTAAGAAGTGATAGAAACATAAGGGTTCATACTCATCTCTAGTTTTGTGGTTAGAAAATTCCTTTAAAAAAAATGACAAAGTTTATACAGAAAGTGGATTATAAGGAAGGGGCAGAGTCATGGCATAAATTTATCAAATTCAGAATTTGGTAGCTAGGAAGGTTTATGTAACGAGGAATATGTAAATAAAAATAAGGGTCAGAGAAGAAAAAAATCGTGTCAAAGGCAAACCTTGTGCCCTGGCCATTAGCTCAAGAAGCTAAATAAATGCTGAAAGAAGGGATAGGAACACTCACTGAAGACATGGAAAGGGAAAGTTGCATGAAGTACAGGAGTTACTGAGAAGTTCAGTATTTTATCCTCCAAATATATAGTGCTTGTAGGAAGAGAACCGAATGTCCCCAATTCAAAAGGCTCATACTACGGCAGTGAGTAAGCCAGGCTCTGGAGCCAGACAAGCCTGGGTCTGAATCCTGGCCCCACATGAACTAGCTGTGTGACTATGGACAAACTGCTTATCCTCTCCAAGCCTTAGTTTTCTAGCTGTGAAACAGGGACAGTAATAGCACCAATGAGATACAGTTATTGGAAGTTTAAATGAAGTAAGTCAAGTCTTTACCATGCCTGACTTGAATAAATGGTTAACCAGTGGTGGTCATTATATGCTTTGGCAAGAGACTCTGACTAGAGAACAAAGATCTTAGCAATTAAGTTAAAAAGGGACAGTTTTACCAGGAAACCAACTGCACCCTCTACAGTCCCGCCCTGTTCCTCAGACCCAGGAAACCTCCCAGAGGCACTGACCCCTACACAAAGGTCGAGCATTCTACAAGGATGGCCAGCAGGTCTGGGGGACCAGGCACCATGCTGGGCTATAGGGGCCACGGGTCTGGGGGCTCTGGCAGCTCTCAGCTGGGGACAGATACAAGTCTCGGCCAGCAAAGCAAAGAAGGACACAACCCAAGATTCCCATTTTCTCTAAGAGAAAAGCAGGCCCATCTCTCAGGAGAAGTGACACTCTTCCTGACCCAGAGGTCTGAGGATTTTCATAAAGGTAGACAGAGACTAGAGCAAGGTGGGGGGCGGGGGGCGGGTGCTTGGAAGAGAACAAGGAAAAAGGGAGTGACAGTTAGTATACATGTCTCACGTGTACACACCACAGCCAGAGCACAATGAGGGGCTACTGTGAAGGCTTTCTTTCCATCCAGGAGATGCTCTGCAGAAATGTGCTACGTGGAGAGAGAGATGACTGCAGAACAGGAAGACAAGTGAGTCATCCAGGCAGCAGGCAGCCAGGACTCAATGTAAGGCATCAAATAACAAGTTAGAGCCGAGATATGTGAAAAGGCAGTCAGCAAGACAAGATAAAAAGCGAGATATGTGAAGTGAGGAGGAAGTCAAGGTGACTCCTAGAAGTTCAGCTTAACTCATAGCCAGGTAGAAGCAAGATGCTCCTCCCTCGATCTTCCCTTGCAGTCAGGTGCATTCAGGTCAAAATCCCTGGCTTCACCTTTGACTGACTCTTCTTTCTCTCTCACTCCACATTCCTGCCCTGGCAGCATCCTTTTGACAAACATTCACTGAATGCCAGGCAGTGTTTTAGATACAGTGAGCAAACCAGACCAAAAACCTGCCCTTATGGAACTGTATCCTCTAAAGCGGAGAAACAGGCAATAAACAAGATAAATAAGCAAAACATATTGTAGGTTAGGTTATGGTAAGTATTAGGAGTAAAAGCAGAGAAGAGTAATAGAAGTATAAAGAGTAATAGAAGTATAGAGGGGAAAGAGTTGCGATTTCAGCAATTCCTATCTACTGTCTTCAAAACAAATTCAGAAATAGCCTTCGCACAACTTCCACTGCCTCCAGCATGGTCCAGTCCACCATCATCTCTCAACAGCCTCCTGCTACTGAATAGCCTCCCAACTCTTGTGTTTACTTCCAACTTTGCTCCCCTACAATCGATTTTCAGCCTAGCAACCCAAGATTCCATTAAAGCATAAGCCAGATGACAACACTCCTTAGTCCCAAACCCTCCAAAGGAAGAACAGAAATGGACGAGGAATTCAGAATGCAGGGTCGCAGAACACTGAGGGTATAGCAGGGGCTGCAAACTCTAGGTTTACGGTGGAGCTAAGCAACATGGCACTCGGGGGCTTAGGCGCAGCTACAGTGAGCGCAGCTGGTTCAGTTGACAGAGAATAAAAATGAGCAGATCACACAAAACAGAAAGGGCCAAGGGGCTAGGGAGGACGGGACCGGCGGGCTCACCCGGAGATCTCTGAGGCAGGATCCAAACACTTCCATCACTGTGAAGACGGGGCGCTACAGCCAGTCTGTCTCCAGAGCAGGCAGCCAAGAGCATGGGGTGGAGGCCGAGGAGTCGGCCTTTGTGCTGAGCACTCAGGTGACATAGAGTAAAGCGTGCTGCAGGGTGACCAGCAACTGCCCGGAGAAGAGGCTCAAAGGAGATGAAGCTGCAGGCAGGTGGGTGGGGAAGGAGGGGCTTCAGCCTGGGGATGTAGACATGGGTGAAATGGGCATGTGCAGGAGACTCCAAGGAAAGGAGCAACTAAAGACTTGGGGAGGGAGGTGCTGGGAGAGACACTTCTGAAATGTACACTGAAATGACACAACGTTTATGAAATAAACCAATAGGAGCCTGAAAGGGCTTAGCAACCTTGCCTGAAGTCTAGTTACAAGTACCCTGAGAGGTACTCAAAGCCTTAATAAAGGATTAACTGTACAATTATTCCAATTTGAAGGATTAGAAAGATTATATCTAAATCAACTGGGATTGGGATTTGGTCATTCTGTGAAGCCTACTTTAATATGTTCCAGTTTCCTTCATCAGATTCTCCAAAGACTGAAAGTTTGATATAAGTATGAATTTATTGACATCAATTTCCTTAAGCTATTATTCCAACACAGAGAAGGTACTGAAGAGCTGATGACAATGATAATAAACCAACAAGATCTGGAGTTTTCAAGGCCTAATCCCTCCAGAACAGAGAAAAGAGAGACAGAGAGAATGAATAAGTCTTCAAAAAGAATTGGAGACTGTTTTCAATTATAGCGAGAAGTAATGACATTTTGACAATGTAAGCTTTTTATCCAGAAACATATATCTATTCCATAGATACCAAATTGATTACCATATCATCAAGTTTGAAAATATACAAAATATTTGTTGTTCTTACATACTGAAATTAAAACCTAATTTTAAAAAGTGCACAGTAAAAACAGCATAAGGAAACCTATAATATCCACGCATGTGTGCTGTTTTCCATTTCACTGTCAACATCAAGTTCTGTATTTGCCTTACTGGTTACAAATATATTTTAAATATTTCAAGGCCATTTACAACACTGACTACTTTACTAGGTCCAACAACACTCCAGCTTCCTGAAGGCGGCCAGCACTGGATGTGGAGGGTCGGCCCCGCAGCTCCGCTCAGCAGTAGCAGCTCTGGAAAGAAGTCGCCAACCCGCTATCCGCAAACTATCGACTCTTGTTCTTTTTAGAATTTCCCTGTGCAAAGAAAAATATCAACAATAAGAAGGCCAACTTCTAGAAAAATCATCCACACAGTTTAGAGTTCAAGCTGTATGGAAGCCATAGTTCACTGTGGAAAACTTGAGCTTCCAAGAGGGAGAAGAGCTGATAACTTTGCATCGCTTTTATTTAGGAATCACAGAGCAGTTTGTTACTCTTCACACTCCCCACTTTTCTCCATCTACCTTATTTCCCTGGTGTCTGAGCTCAGGTAATAAAGAAAAGAAAGCATATCTTGGATTTATCAAACCTCATATATTCATTTTGTTTCAAAGACAAGGTACTTTATGATTTCATAAAGCTGAATAAAATATTTTAGCCTAAACTTGTTCCTTTGCTGTTGAAATGAACACCTTTTAAAAGGTCTTAATAGGAACTTATTTTTAATATGTGCCAACCAACATCCCAGTGGCAATGATAATCTCAGGATAAAAGGAAGCTCAGAAACCAGCTGACAGCAACTTGGAAGATGTCTTAACTTAATTCCTGATTCCCTCATATACAGAGATTTGGACTTTCCAGTTTCACATAACTTTTCTTTTTTCTGGAGAAGTTCACTTTTTAGGAAAGCATTCTAATTTAATTCCTACATTTAACTATTACATATAAATACTCAGTTCATGCACATGGGAAATGGTTGCAGAACACAGACATTCAGAGCAAGACAACAGCAAACAAATGGCTTCAGGATGTTTACTTGATATCCAATGGAGACCATGTCAACCCAGCTATCTGATGCTATAGCAATTTAAATGACTAATAAATGGGGGGTGGGGTGGGACAAAATATAGGGACCACAGAAAGATCAAAGAAAGGTTAACAACAGAAACCAGAAAGTAAAGAAGGATCGCTAACTCTATGCATTATTAATAATAGATATTCTAAAGTGAAGTCACTCAGTCGTGTCCGACTGTGACCCCATGGACTGTAGCCCACCAGGCTTCTCCGTCCCTGGGATTTTCCAGGCAAGAGTACTGGAGTGGGTTGCCATTTCCTTCTCCAGGGGATCTTCCTGACCAAGGGATTGAACTCGGGTCTCCCACATTGTAGGCAGATGCTTTACCCTCTGAGCCACCAGGGGAAGGACTAGATTAAAAATTTCCAAGAAGGCTTAAAAATTTCCTCACTCCCAAAGTGATTGCAATACAATTAATTACCTTCGGGACAATGAGCTTTGCTATAGCTCACCAGGCTCCTCTGTCATTGGAATTCTCCAGAATTCCACTGGAGTGGGTTGCCATTCACTTCTCCAGGGGATCTTCCAGACCCAGGGATCAAACCCAGGTCTCTCGATTGCCACCAGCAAAGCCCCTATACCCAACATTGCTGCTAAGCTGCTAAGTCGCTTCAGTCGTGTCCGACTATGTGCGACCCCATAGACGGCAACCCACCAGGCTCCACCATCCCTGGGATTCTCCAGGCAAGAGTACTGGAGGCGGTTGCCATTTCCTTCTCCAACATTAACCCTCCTCAATTCAGAACCAAATGCTCTCTGCATCTCTGAGGTCTGAAAACTTTCCCTATAATGACTGCTACTTTTCTTCAAATGTTAGGTGTTATAAGCAGGCTTTCTCCTGCTACTCCCACTAACACATGTGCTTTCTACATGAGTCAGCCACTGCCCTGATGGAATACCAAGAGGCCAAAAGGGTTAAGGAGGCATTCATCAGAAGGACCAATACCCTACCCACTATCTACAAGCTCAAGTTTCCCCAAGCACCAGTAACCGGAGAACCCTAATCAGAACTACATAGGCTGGTCACAACCATCACAAGATGTCCCAGAAAAGCATCACAGACATTCTCTGAAGCAGCCAGAGGCCAATCAATACCACCAAACTACACTGAGGAACAAAATTCTATAAGGCAGATTCTAGTGCATTAACATGAGACACTCGCAAGGAGACACCAACTGAGCATCATGCAGCTCTGCACCACCAGTGGCAGATGCGAAAATGAAGCTATGGTCTGTTCATCTCTATGTCCTTCCCAGAGCCAGCATGCAACAGGAACTCAGTACATGCCTGCAAGATCAGTGAGGGGCGGCATGGACTGCAAAAAGCACAGGCTGGAGACAGCAGATCCAAGCTGCTGGTGGCAGGGTGTTGTCTGAGTTACCAAAATATGCCAAGCATCTGAGATCAAGCATGAAACCAGCTCGCTGGCCTCTTGAAGCCTACCTCTCATGGTAAGAGTGTGTGTGTGTGTGTGTGTGTGTGTGTGTGTGTGCGTGTGCGCACACTACCCATATCTACTGACCCCAGCCTGGACAATCAGAGGCTTTATGGGAAATGAAATTTAAGAAGTCTTTGGAATTAAAAGAACAAAACAGTCCTAGGTTATATGGATATGTTATGAGAATAAATTTGCTAAGCAGGTTACTTTTCAATGAGACCATTTTAGATTCATATAAATAAAGAGCAATCCCCATCATAAACCCTCTGAAGAGTGCTCCTAACTAACAGAACAGTAGCAGAAACGCCCCAAATACCAAAAAGCAAGCAACACAGAGTTAGGGCCTGAAGGTCAGACCTTCTCTCAACTTGTAACTCAATCAAACAATCTTCATCTTACTTTCGGATGAGAGGGCAAGTGAAATGATTTGTAAACACTTCAAATCTCTTAACCCTTTGCTCCCGAGACACACAGCAACGAAGCACCTTAAATGCAACACATAAACATTAAGCGCTGCCCCTCGGAGGCCCCCTACCTTACTGGACATCTTTAGCGCGTCGATCTCGTCTCTCTGCTTAGACAACGTCTCGTTCATGCTGCACAGGTGGTCGCTCATCATACTGAGCTGGTCCTCGTAGCTCCTCTTGGTAGTCGTCAGCTCATCCTGAACGGCCAGAGGAGAAAGAAGAGAGAAAGCAAAATCCACCAGTTATACCACTCCAGAGCTTTTTTAAGAAAAAAAAAATTGTTGGAGAAGCAACCTAACAAGATGACCTATCTGGTCAATTAAGAAGCAGGTTAAGCCACAGGTCTAACAAGAGAACCAGTAAAAATGGCGAAGAAGTTTTTCTCAACCTTCAAAATGGGTTCTGAATTTCTTTGCAGAAATGAGTTTCCTTCTATGCCAGGTATAAAAGTGTCACCAAAAAAAAAAAAAACACAAGAGGGCTTCATGATCTTTCCCTCAGGTTTTCCTGAGCCTTTGGTGAGGTGGGGGAGGTAGTCTCTGGCACATTCCCACCATCCCACACGTGATGGGGATCCCACAGCCCTCTGGGCAGGCCTCTCCCTGGAAAAAGTACCTTCTTCATTCCTCTCATCTCTCAGGCTCTCTTCGGCCTTTTAACATCTAATCTTGTGATTCTAGAAAATCTGATAAATGAATCTGAAACCAGAAGGAAGTGTGTATTGCTGTTAATGAGTTATTTCTTTGCCTCTGGCATGTTTATATTTAATAAAGGTTCTGGAAACAAGGCTTTAAAACAAAGCAGTGAGTAAGAAGGAATATTTTGCAGCCCTATCTTTCAGTTTATGTCAGTTTTATGAATCAGTAGAGAAGGAATTGAGTCATATGAACAGAATAAACCTCCGGCCAGCCATGACAGGGATTATCAACTGGGAGGAAGAGAAAAAGGAAGGACTATGGATAAATAAGTATTATTTAAAGAAATGCTGACTAAAAAACTATTTATAATTAAAATCAAAGTAGAGAAACAAATAATACAACCACTTCTTGCCAGCCATAAAGGAGCTGTAACTTGAAAATGAGCTAGAAATAAGAAAAGTACTATATCTAGAGGTCAAATGTCACCATTTAGAAAGGAAATGCTGATTTTTCAGCCTAAGAACTTTTAATGAAAAACATATTAATACTGCATAGGTAACATGAAACTCACCTGAAGTCGGCTAATGTTCTGACTGGCTACTTTCATCTCTTCTGTCAGTGCCTCTTTAGACTTTTCAGCCAAGGCCAGTCTTTTAGAGAGTGCTCGGCACTGTGAAATCAGAAAACATTCCATTATCTCAGGAAGCATTTCCCCAAACCAAATTTACTTCAGGAAAGGTTACTAGAAAACAATCCCCAAGACCACACTTCCTCCCTCCATTCCACAAACATCTGCTGAATAGCCATAGGCCCTGTACCATACCCTTGAGCACACATAAGAAATGTAAATGGTCCTCACTCACATCAGTTTAATGAGGAAAAAAACATCTACTAACCCAAGTTCATCGGTACTTCTTTCCGAGCTCTAGCCTGATGACCACAGGTTACAAAAAGCATAAGAAGTTTCTTTTCTACATTTACCCAAGATTCATGTACGCTGGATGAGAAAGGAAGTGGTTATTTCCAAAGTGATCAGTGGCATCAAACAGTATGAATTCTCAGATACTTTACTTCTTGTGTTTTAAGTCCTTTATTGGAGACCATATCACAGGAACAATAAAATCTTTACAGCCTCATTTTATTGATGGGGGGAAAAAAAGTGAGAGCAGTCTGAAGACCCCAGCTGGCTGTTTTGGGGGGGGTCTACTAAACTGAGGCTGTCTGGAGACAGTACATGAAGAAGAAAAAAGAAAAATTCTATTTCATACTATTGTTCAAAGAAGGTGTGCCATTAAAAGGATCACTAAATTTTCTGATAAACCATGAGGTTGACACGGAGAATCTGTTGAGACACATTTGGATGCTATGTCAACATCAGACGCTCAGACTGACCATTCCAGTAAAGTCATACTAAGGGTCACCACTTCCTGTTTACAGACAAGGAAAAACTAGAACAATTTTTAAATTCCTGTATCACAATTGTGCTAAAAGAATTTACTAAGATAAGCAAATCTCTTGGAAATAAAATAGCCTCAGAAATTCCCCAGTTACTCAATTCATTCCTCATAAGAGAACTTCAGGCAAGTTCAGCCAACCAAATCAACCAATCAATGTGCTCAGCATTGAACCAGAGAAAGAGGGAGAGAGCTCTGCAAAACACAGGTCCTTGTGAGGACGACAATCAAGTCTGGGAGAGTAACTCAGAAGGTAGTTAGGGATCCAAGACAAGTACCAGGACAAGATGATTTACTGTGCCACATGGTTCAAACCGCAAGGCACTGCAGCATCCAACTTGCTGTCCTCATTTTTCTACAATCCAACAGCTATCACCACTGATCATCTTCTCAAACAGGTATGCAACACTAAGCTACCCATATCGTTTATTTCAGCAGGAAGAGAGAAGCAAAGCCTCTCTTCACTCGGAGCACCTGGCTTCCTATCAGCCTCCCTTGTCTCTGCAGAACAGGAGAAAATCACAAAGTCACATTCTAGTAAAGGGTGCGATCTTTCCTTTGTCAATTTCCTTAACAGTTTAAAGGATTATACATCTCTGTCGACATCTACAACTAACCTTTTAAGAAAAAGTTTCTCATCAGAGACCTTACAAGTATCCTTATATGTTGAGCAATATCCATTCTATCTTATAATTTGTTTCTCACTTCTTGATATCTGTAATTTCTTCTTTCATTTTCTCCTCTTCATCAATGAATTTTTATAATTTTATTATCTTGCATAGTGTTTTTCTAATCCTCTTAAGAAAATGAATTATACGGTAATGGAAGAAAAAAATGTAACAAAAAGCAACGTTTTATATTTTTTAAAGGTTGAAAGAGGTTATATTTTACATTTTGTCATTTATAAAAACTCATTACCACAACGGAGAAGGCAATGGCAACCCATGCCAGTACTCTTGCCTGGAAAATCCCATGGACGGAATAGCCTGGTAGGCTGCAGTCCATGGGGTCGCTAGGAGTCAGATACGACTGAGCGACTTCACTTTCACTTTTCACTTTCATGCATTGGCGTAGGAAATGGCAGTGTTCTTGCCTGGAGAATCCCAGGGACGGGAAAGCCTGGTAGGCTACCATCTATGGGGTCACACAGAGTCGGACATGACTGAAGCGATTCAGCAGCAGCAGCAGCAGCAGCAGCATTACCACAAGTTGTCATTTACAAACTAAAGAGTACACTAAAGAGAAACAAAGGCATACTTGGCTTTGAATTTCCCTAAATGAAAATTCCTTCACCTATGAATGTTACCAGCTTATACCTCTCTAAAACAAGGAATCTATAATAACAATGTTCCAAGACATGTTATATAACCCTAAGAAAGTCTATCAGATAAAGATTTTTCATTGTTATGTGGACCAATCTACATGAACTCTAACCAAATCCACACTGCAAACACACTGACTCTGATCTTTCTTTTGTGGTGAACAGCAGGAGGCCAAGGTAGTGACCTAATTGCTGAAGGGGTTAGGAAAATCCACCTGATCCAGCTGACTCTCCACTCACCTCAGCATAAAAGTGCACTGACTTGCTGTCAGCTAGCTGCAGCTGAGACGTCAGCTCCACTATCCTCGCCATGTAGTGATTTCTGATTAAGTCTTCCCGAGATTCCACATCTGGAGCCTAAAGAGAGCACACATAACTCAGTAAATAAATGCCAGTGGGATGAAGCAGTTCTAAGAGGGGAAAAAAAAAAAAGATTACTATCACTTTAGCCAAATAAAAAGAAGAAGACATTTCATACATTTTCATTTGAAATTTGACGGGAAATCATAATTTTCCCACCTTTCGGAAAAACTCTAAATAGGACAGATGCTTTTATTCAGCTCCTTGCCTGTCTCACAGTGAAGGTGTGGCTTCAAGAGAAGAAAGCAGAAGTGAAGTCTTGGAAGGCCCCCCAGCCATGGGGCCATGTCTCTCAGTTAGGTGCCACACACCTAACTTTCAAAATCTCTATCTGGCTGCCTTCTATGTCTTCCACTAACTAGAGAATAGGGAGAAGGGGTGCATTTATTGGTATTCCTAGAAATATGAACATTCTTTTCCCTCAAATTATCTTAAGATAGCTCTAATACTTCTAAACATACTAACAAATTAGACTATTTCTATAATGAACAATTTATGGCCCTTGTCCCAGACTAGTTTTCTGCTAATTACTCTAGCAATGGCACCTACTCAGTTGAGTTTAAAAGTATATGCAGAAGTTCAAGATTACCTAAAGTATAAGGCCAGTAAGAAAACCAAAGAATTTACCAACCTACTTGAACTATGTTTGCCAGTTCACCATTCTGACTGTTAAGCTGAATGACTTCAGCATTCTTTTAATGATTATTTGTAAGTTTATACTTGCAATATTTCAAAACGAAAAGGTGCAAACCTATTTGACAGGCCAAAATCTGACCTGGATTCAGTCATGTGAGGGCTGGAAAGAACTACAAGCCCATTGATGGTCAAGCCCCTGATAAGCCCTGCTCTGCCAGCCGGCCCACTGGGAAGGTAATGGCTCGCAGCCTCCAGCCACATACCAGCAAGCTCATGCCACACCCTGTCAAACTGCCAAGTCAAGTCAGGCTGTGATTTGTTGGTGACAGTTAACAGTGACCCAAGAGAAAAACAACATGGATTCACACTGACTAGAACTGTCAGAAATGTAATTAGGTGAAGCTGACTTTTGCTGGACTTTGTCAACAAACATGTGGCCAGATATTGACTAGCAAACAACATGATGTTAAGCACACATTACCTCACTGTCAGATGTCCTGGTTAAAATTCCAATCTAGAACACAAGGGAGAAAAAGCTTTAGAACAGACTGTTTATACTTTAAACACAACAGCTTAAACCCTTGCCATATTTTTTCTCTTCTCGATTCACATTGTTTCAGAGCACACTAAGGAGAATTCCTTGGTGGGCCAGTGGTTAGGACTTGGTGTTTTCACTGCTGTGGACCCGGTTTCAATCCCTGGTTGGGGAACTAACATCTCATAAGCCGTGCGTTGTTGCCAAAATGTAAAATGAAACAAGAAACATTGAAAAAAAAATAAAACAAAAACACACTTGCAATGGAGTTCTGGAAGATCACCCTCAAATCAATCATCTTTCGATACAAATCATCTTTCAACACAAGCTGGCCCTTCAGATATATAACCATATTCATGATTTCTGTCATACGGCAGTAATGGATAATGACCATCACTACTTTCTCTATCCAAATGCTGTTAGCCATTTTTACTGAAACCCAACAAATGGTCTGAGAAGAAAGAGAGGAAGAACAGTTTTTAACTCTTCGAGGCATTTCTATGCGTATTTCCAAAGCAGGCAAGAAGACCTAAAGATAGTTTCATGGTGACCCTAATAACTAAACATTTTCTCACTGCTGTGGGCATTTTCTCATATGCTGCTGATAAACAGTATAAACTAATGTAGTCCTTTAGAAAGTAATTTAGCAATAAAGATCATGAAAACATTCAGTCTGACCTGATCAATGAGACAGACTCTGAAGGGAAGTCCACAGATGAGTGCTGGCAATGTTGCACTTCCCCAAATGGTACCTAAACTGATGTCAGAATTCTGTTCTGTTGGTTAAATGTCCTTCTAGGCAGTCACCTTCCCTTGTCAGGAGGAGAGAACACCACCTGCGGCTAGGACTCAACCTCACTGTCGGGGCTTACATAGGATTCTCCGGTGAGCATACTGGCCATTCAGGTCACTGCTCCAGGAAGTTTGCTGTATGTTTTCCACTTTTCTAAGAATTTTAATTCTTTTTTCCTCTCCTCTATTTTAGTATGAAAATATGTAAACACATAGTAAACTTGGGGGAAAAATGATAATAAACACCTGTGCACCCACAATCTATTAATACATTTATACATTTACCAATGTATTGTCAATACATTAATACATTTGATAATGAACAATTTGTTACATTTACTTTATTTATCTGTGTGTGTACATTTCCTGAAGTATCTGAAAGTAAGCTGCAAATATGATGATATCTTACTCTAAGTACTTTGGTTGGCATTTACCTCCAAAAAGTAAAGATATTCTCCTAAATAATCAAAATATCATTATCACATCTAAGAAAACTAACAATAATTCCCGGTTTCTGACACTGTTAAGGTGCAGTGAGGTCTTTATACATCTTGAAAATAAAAGTTAATTTGTATATAATACTATTAAGTATGCTCTGAATCAGACACAAGGTAGACGTGAAAGGGACCATGACTTGCTCTTCAATAGCATCAGTGAGCTATAAGAGGAATCACATGCCTTAGGACAGGGCCATCAGCAAGTACCACGGTTCCCCTCAAGTTTCTCAAAAAATGCTAACAAAAATACATTTACTGAGATCCTTCTAATTTGAGGGTCTTCTTTCCCTTCTTTACCTGATTTCTCATTTTTCTAGATTTTTAGTTTTTTTTTTATAGTGCGCAGAATACTATAATCAGAAGATTTTTTTCCATGTAACTCTGAATTCTGTAATTCCAATAGAGATGTTTCCTTACCTTCTAAATCACTGCAATTAAATATAAGGCAAGAAATACAAAGCTACAAAATAACTTGTCACTATATTGCCTTAGGAAGTCTAACTATATTATACGTAAATCATAAAGCTTTATGTTACCTAGGAATATACCATATAATTGGTTTTAAAACATATTTATGGTCATTTCTGTAAAAAGTTAGGCATTTAGTCCTTTGTCAGAAACATAAGCCCCGTGTAACATATATTTCAATGGAAAAACAGAATCATCATAATTTGACTTAGTGTATCTTCACCAGAAACAGAGCCCTTACCATGGGGAACTCTTGCATGTAAAGTCAAAGAGAATCGAATAAACTTGTGTTTTGAAAGGGGCATCTGGCTCATCAACCTGAGTTTTCCAGAGCACATCGATTATTCCTGTTATAAATTCCTGTAATTTAGATGGTAAAGTCTGAACACTAAGGTGGATCCCCACTAGTTACCATTATATAAAAAAAGACACTTACCTCACTGGTGCTGTGAATGGGTTCTGGCACAGACTTAGCCGACGCGTCCTCCTGGCCCGTAGCAGTCACCACGGCAGCCTTTTCCTGGGCCACCCCGACCACCTGACCACTACTTGTGCTCTTCAGTTTATCTGCAATTCGCTGGTTTTCTTTCTCCAGCTTGATTTTAGCTAACTGTGCTTCCAACATCCAGTGTTCTTTTTCCTGCTCCAGTTTAGAAATCTTCTCCAAACTCTGCTGAACCTTGAAAGCAACAGAGAATTCTGAACCTTAGAGGATGATGTGGACAAAACTTAGTGGCCAAAAAAATACTTTGTGGAATGCAAACCAAAACTACTTCACAGGTGTGAAAACAAAACCACTTGATACTGGAATAGGGAAAGTTTTATTAAATAAGATACAAAAGGCACAACCATAAATTGATAAATTCAACAAGAATAAAATTTTTTAAAATCTCTATTCATCACAAGGTATAAACAAAGAGTAAAAAGAAGCATGTATCCAAAAGAGGACTAATATCCAGAATATATAAAGAACTTCTGTAAATCAATGATAAAAAGACAGGTAACACAACAGAGAAACAGGAGGAAAAAAGACTTGAAACAGGCACTTTAATACTACTATAAACATAAAAAAGAAGCTATTCATTGTCACTGTTTATCAAGGAAAAGCAATTTAAGACCACCCAAAACTAAAATGAAAGACAGAAAATACAAAGACAGACATATTTATGGAGCAATTGGAACTATCACATAGTGCTGGGAGGAGTGGAATTCAGGACAAACACTTTGAAAACTGTTTGTCAGGATCTTTGAAAATTGAACTTATATCCTGTGCATCATGCTAAGTTGCCTCAGCTGTGTCCAACTCTTTGTGACCCTGTGGACTGTAGACTACCAGGCTCCTCCATCCATGGGATTCTACAGGCAAGAATACTGGAGAGGGTTGACATGCCCTCCTCTAGAGGATCTTCCTGACCCAGGGATCGAACCTGAGTCTCTTCTGTCTCCTGCATTGGCAGGTGGGTTCTTTATCAGTAGCACCATGTGGACTCAGCAATTCCACTTCTAAATATATGCCCAACAGAAAAATATGCATGTTTATCAAAAGACAGGTATAAGACGCCCACAGCAGCCCTATGATAGTTAAACACTTGAAAATACTCATAAGCTATTGTTGTTCAGTCGCTCAGTTGTGCTGCGACCCCATGTACTGCAGCATGCCAGGCTTCCCTGTCCATCAACATCTCCCAGAGCTTGCTCAAACTCATGTCCATTGAGTCAGTGATGCCATCCAACCATCTCATCCTCTGTTGTCCCCTTCTCCTTCTGCCTTCAATCTTTCCCAGCATTAGGGACTTTTCTAATGAGTCGGCTCTTTGCATCAGGTGGCCAAAGTATTGGAGCTTCAGTTTCAACATCAGTCCCTCCAATGAATATTCAGGACTGATTTCCTTTAGGATGCACTGGCTGGATCTCCTTACAGTTCAAGGGACTCTCAAGAGTCTCCTCCAACACCACACTTCAAAAGCATCAATTGTTCGGCACTCAGCTTTTTTTATGGTCCAACTTTCACATCCATACATGACTACTGGAAAAACCAAAGCTTTGATGAGACAGACCTTTGCTGACAAAGTAATGTCTCTGCTTTTTAATAATGTCTAGGTTGGTCATAGCTTTTCTTTCAAGGAGCAAGCATCTTTTAATTTCATGGCTGCATTCACCATCTGCAATGATTTTGGAGCCCAAAAAAATAAAGTCTATCACTGTTTCCCCAACTATTTGCCATGAAGTGATGGGACCAGATGCCATGATCTTAGTTTTCTGAATGATGAGTTTTAAGCCAACTTTTTCACTTTCATCAAGAGGCTCTTTAGCTCTTCTTCACTTTCTGCCATAAGGGTGGTGTCATTTGTATATCTGAGGTTATTGATATTTCTCCTGACAATCTTGATTCCAGCTTGTGCTTCATCCAGTCCAGCATTTCCCATGATGTACTCTGCATATAAGTTAAATAAGCAGGGTGACAACAAACAATCTTGACGTACTCCTTTCCCAATTTGGTACTAGTCCGTCGTTCTATACTCTAACTGCTGCTTCTTGTCCTGCATACAGGTTTCTTAGGAGGCAGGTAAGGTGGCCTCATATTCCCATCTCTTTAAGTATTTTCCAGTTTGTTGTGATCCACACAGTCAAAAGGTTTGGCGTAGTCAATGAAGCAGAAGTAGATGCTTTTCTGGAATTCTCTTGCTTTTTCTATGACCTAACGGACGTTGGCAATTTGATCTCTGGCTCCTCTGCCTTTTCTAAAACCAGCTTGAACATCTGGAAGTTCTCAGTCCACATACCGTTGAAGCCTCGCTTGGAGAATTCTGAGCATTACTTTGCTAATGTGTGAAATGAGTGCAATTGTACGGTAGTTTGAACATTCTCTGGCATTGCTTTTCTTTGGGATTGGAATGAAAACTGACCTTTTCCATAAGCTGTAAGAATGGATAAATTATGTAATTCACACAACAGAATACTCAACAGGAATGAAAATGGACCAAACACAACTACATATAAGATGGATGTAATATTACATATATAATGTTGAACAAAAGAAGCCAGATCTGAAAGAGATGCAGCGTAACTCTCATTTAATATAAAGTTCAGTATCATGTAACAAAACAAAGAATGCAGGATTATGGTTATCTTTGGGAAAGAGGACAGCAGCAACTGGAGAGGGGAATGCAGGAGGTTTCAGGGGTCCCGGCAAGTATTTTTTTAAAATACATTTCTTCATGTGTTCTTACATGAAGAAATGTTCTTTTCTAAAAATTTCATCCAGCTACTAGTTAAAGTGTTTACTTGTGAAAATTCACTGGAATATATTAATAATTTATATACTTTTTTTATGTTGTACTTAAATAAGGAGTTCTTAAAAAGCTAGTTCTCAAGGCAAATAAAAGCTTGAGAACTAAATAAAAATAAAAGCCACCTTTGAGTGAATCCCAAATGCTTTACCCAGTGACTGAGCAATCGCCACGTACCAGACACTGTTCATTTCCTTTCCTGCCAGTATCCCACTGAAGCCTCCCAACAGTCCTGCAGCCCTCACCTCTCAAAGACGAGGCCTGAAGTTCCAGCAGCTGAGCCCTTGCTAAGCTAACGGCAGAGCCAGGACTGGGGGCCTCGTGTGTCGGGTTCTTTTCGCCACGTTACACTGCCTCCTATTGGCTCAGTTAATCCTTACCAGACCCCGCGAGGTAGATATTATCCTCGATTCGGAGAGGCAGGTGTGAGACTGGAGTGCTTATCAGAACAGCCTGCAGCTGGTCTGTGCCAGAGTGGGAAAAGCAATAGCTCTGATGTCAAATCATTCTGCACTTATTAGGTATTAATACTTTGGATAAAAACTTCTTAATTGCTTTGAGCCTTAACCTTCCTCACATAAGACAGAAATCCAAAATAAGATACTCCACATTTCACGTTTGTCTCAGGAATTTTGTTTTTTAGGAATTACTATGTGGATTAAATTTTCAGTTTCAACATCCTCTCGGATTAATGTTGAAAAGATAAGTGATATGTATCCAAAAATGAAAACAAGGCCAGCTTAGGCAAAACATTGTCTCAGATAATCTGTGCTCTCTTTAAAAGAAATATTTCCCAAACTAAAAGCAGGCCAGGTGTTAAAGTAAATAAACTGCTGGCTAATGCTAAACTGGTGTCAGTATGTACCAACTTCTGAAAAAACCAGTACTACCTACCTCCACCTACGCCCAAATTCAACTGACCAATTGAGTACTGGAAATTTTTCATTCCTGCTCCTTTAAGAAATAAAAATAACTCACTGACTCTCTAGCCTTCTCCCTTTTTTGCCTTATTATTTCAGACATTTAAATCTAGCCTAAATAATTAATCAGCATGGAGAAAGTGTGCTGATATTGCTTCATTGGTAATTATGACAGCAACTGAATCAGGATGACTTATTTAGAGTATCAACAAGTGTTTTTCAATGAATTATGCTTATGGTACATGTGTTAATTTTAGACCTTTACTTACATAGCCTTTTAAATCACTCGATATACGTTAAAAACCTTCCACAGGGGGTTTAACATTCATGATCTTTAGCAAGCATCATGATCTTCTCAACACCATACCTGTTGTGCAAGGCCTTCTCGACTTTCAGTAGAGCTGAGAAGGACCCTGCGGTTTGCCAGAGCTTCTTCATAAGGCACAGATTCCAAGAGGGGCTATGGAGAAAGCATCATAAGAATTAAAGAAAAAAGCTGCATGATTTCCCTGATCTTACAAATAAAAGTGCTAAATGAAGTTTAATAATAAAATTCAGGTGTGTATCTATATAGACTAGTTCCTTTAATACATGTGAAAAAGAACCTTTAAAAAAAAAGAATGAAGGGGAACATGTCATACCAGTTATAAGCAACACTATCTAAAATCAAAGGACTTGCACCAAAATAGACAGAGAAAAGAATGACATAGAAAACCTAGAAACAGATAAAAGCACATACAAAAATGTACTATGTGACAAATGTTGCATTTTTACATCAACTGAGAAAAGGTAAACTGCATAAATCATGGAAGGACAACCAACTAATAATTCAGAAAATTTAGACCCTGACTTCATACTTTATATCAAAATAAATAAATTCAAGATGAGTTGAAGATTTCAATCTAAATAGTTTAGACCACAAAAATACTGAAAGAAAAAACCGGTGCCCTGGAGTAGGAAATGACAACCCACTCCAGTATTCTAGCCTGGAAAATGCCAGGGACAGAGGAGCCTGGCAGGCTACAGGGCACAGCGTCACAAAGAGTTGGACATGACTGAGCAACTGAACGCACACACACGTGTGCATATAAAATATTCAGGAGTGATCAAAATGATTAATATAATTTATGTTTATGTCTAAAGAAAACTCTTTTGGTAATTAGAAAATAAAAATTCTAAATATTAAAGAAAAAAAAGAAAATACAGGTGAACACATCTATAATCTTAAAAAGAAAATCCTGACTTTCCAAGATTCCCCTGAGAATCATCACCAAAAAGAGAAAGAACGACTTGATGATATAAAAATTGAAACTTCTAGATTTTGAAAAATTACTGCAGCAAACTGAAGGGAAAATATTTCCAACATAAACAAAGGACTAGAATCCTTAACACAAAGAGAGCTCTTTTCAAACCTAATTAGGAATATTTATTTAAAAATCGGAAAACAACTTAAATAGGGAATTGACAGAATAATATAAACAGTAATTTATGGAAGGACGTTCCATTTCAATAAGAAAAGAAACGCAAATTAAAACAATAGCAACAACAAAAAAATAAAACAATAACAAGAAACCTCTTGTCTCTGATACTGACAAATGAAATTTATGGGTTAGATTTATACCTCTATTTCTGGTAAAGTATAAACAGGTAACCTTCTGGAAGTGTGGTCAGGAAAAAAAGTTACCAAATAGTGAAACATTTACACACTCTGAACAAGCAATTCCATCTTTAGTAATTAATCATTAAAACATTTAGGTGACCTTATACGTTGCTAGGAGTGTACAACCACCCTTAAGGGTAATCTAGCAGTAAACATTAAAATTTAAAATAGGCAAATCACATCATCCAGAATGTCCCACCGCTTAGTATTCCACACATACACCCAAGGAGACATTTACAAAGCTATCCATTGAGGTATAATTCTAACAGTGAAAAAATGGAATCAACCTAAATGCCCTCCAAAAGGAGAATATCTAAATGAACCATGGAACATTTACACTATAGAACTCTATGCTGTATTTAAAATGAATATAGTAGCCATCATATGTACTGATATAGGTCTCTAAAACTTACTCTAAATGAAAAAAGCTACACAATGAAACATACAAGTTGTTTTTAAAAAAACAAAGAAATTTAGAAAAGTCTTTATATTATACATAGTTCAAAGTTTATACAGATGAGTATAAATGTTCCAAAAGAGTCTGGAAAGTTACACATCAAACTGATAACTACAACTACCATTGAGAAGGAACTGGCATTAGGAATTGTAATTTACCTATAATGTTCTCATGTAATTTTATGCATTATGTATAACTAAAAGTTAAAAAGAAATGAGAAAAAAGTAAAAACAAATACACAAAGTTCCATGTGCAAGAATATGTCATGCAGTGTTGCATACAATGGTGAAAAATAGGAAGCAACCTAAAACTCCATGAGCAATGATGGCTTAATTAAATTATTACACATTTATAAAGTGAAATACTATATATAGAATACTAGATGCATTAAAGTGATAGCAATTTATAAGTACAGATATGAATTTTTTGATATACAAAGATATCCACAATGCATTAAAAGGAAAAGAAAATTCTAAAACAGTGTATGTATCCATATATACTGCTTTTATGGTGTGTGTGCACATGCATGCATGTATATACTTTAAAATTTTAGGGAGCTAGACATATACTCTAACAAAGTTAACAGTAGCTACCTTTGGGTGGTGAAATTTGATGTGACCATAATTTTCTTCTTGTACAGAAATATTTCTTCTGATTTTTTTGTAATGATCATGTATTCGTATTATATTGAGAAAAAATTATAAATATATTTCAATTCTTTTTTTGTTTCTACAAGCTTAAGATTTCCTTAAGTTTGACACTTACTAACTGCCTGGCTATCTCACCCTAAACACTCTATCAGGCGCTGGAAACGAAAGTCTAACACGGCCTAAGAGGTGAGGTTTAGGTCTCCATCATATCCTACTTTCCAAAGTCCTCCCAGCCTTGTAACACCCACCAACCCCTGCTCCTCAAAACTGTATAAAGCATAAACATAAACTGTGGGGAAATTATTTCCATTCTCCGGAATTATTTCAGATTTTCCCACTGATTTAAATGTTAACAAGGGCTCACAAACCTTTCTCAAAGCCTTCATATAGGCAGCAGCTTTTTTCTTATACTGCAGCATGCATTCGGCTGAAAGAGGACTGATGAATCCACTCCCTGTCTTGGGCCCATAGCTCAGGGAAGCAATGAAGAAGTCCACGTTGTTGCTGAAGAAGGATGCAATCTAAACCAAGTGTGACAAGAAGATCGATTTTGTTTTCCAATATATTTAAAATATACATCTAACAGTTTTCAGAGCAAAGTTAAGGATATTGAGAATGGAAATGAAAGTTCAACACATGCTCAAAAGCCCACATTTATTTATTTGAAGAGAATACTTAGGCAATGATTTATAATAAACACAACATCAGTTCAAATTTTCAGTCCAGACTGGTCACACCTCTTAATCTAGACAAATTCTACTGTTCCTAAAAACCAAGGCTGATTCTGATTTATTCTGTAGACAATGTTTATGAGCTGTTTACCTCACCAAATCTGCGCCTGTGCTCAAAATATGTACGTTTGGGTTTATACATTCCATTTGCATCTTAACTTTGACTGTTTCATATTCCAACACAAGATATGACACAAGCATCTTGAATATACAATTTTTACTTAAATTTCATTCTGTAAATCTCAATCTGTGCATTACAAACAAAATAGGAAAGAAAATGAAAATTCAGTAGACCCCTGTCATTTACAGATTTAACATTTGCTTACAACAACAAAGATCCATGACCGTATTTTTTCTGAGCCATGATTTTGAATCTACAGTCTATACGCAATGGTGATATAAATTAAAATGTCTAAGAAGGTTATTAGCCGGAAAAATTAAAGTCTTGGATACATTCAAGAGTATTCAATTTCAATAAACAAGAAAAAGTGACTTGTTGAAACAAGAGTATTTTACTTTGGCAAACACTGCTCAAAAAGTAAGTACTCACTAATGGTCTAAAAGGTTATCTTTTTCACAAATATTTTACTGTGTCAAATGAAATTCTATGTTAGGTAGCATTTAGAAAAATCAAAACTCTAAAAATCTTGAATTGTATATTCCATGTACATGACATAGACGAGACATACCTAGAATTTGCATTTAGGTCATGGTAGTACATGGTAAAGTTTACTTTCTTTCCTCTCTAATATTTCTGTATTTCCCATGTGTTCTTTAATATGCATATGTTATACCTTCCTATTGGGTTCTTTTAAAAATTACAAATGATAAAATTTAGTTTAATCAAATCACATTAGCTAAGTATTCAGCTGCCACCAACTAACACTTAGTTCAGATAATTATTTTAGTTAAAGATCATTTTAATAAAAATTTCTGAGTGAAGATCAAAACCTTTCCTTGAGACATCTGTTAAGGTTTCAAGCAAAGCAAATCTAAAATAAACTATGAAGTATACAGGAATTTAATATTCCAGAGTTCTAATTAAAAAGTGACAAATACAAAGACTCCTGTAAAATGCCAATATTCTCTTTTTTCAGAATTTTCCTTAATTGAATCAAAGTTAAAATCAACATCAGAAAGTTTCCAGAATGCTTGTAGATGAAAGCATTACAGAGGAGGCAGTGGGGATAATCTGGCTAAGGAGTCCTGTAGGCACTGATCTGAGTTGACAGAATCTCATGACACCCTTTGACTACAGCCCTAAACGAGAGCAAACTGTCATGAAGACCACTCTGACTTTGGGAAAGATAACACTGAATATCTAGCATAAAATATGACCATTTCTGATTAACTTAAACCACTTGAAAAAAGTATGCTCCCTCCTACTAAGGTCAACCTGTCAGAAAAATAATGGTATATAACACAGATAGAGATTCGCATTTTCTTGAGAAATTATGTTGGATCTATTGAAATAAATGGGCTAAGAAAGTCCTGAATACAGCCCTTTCAGTTTTATCTGTATGGGTGGTTCTCAGAGAAATCTTAGTCACTTAAGGCTTTGATGACAGCCACATGAACATGTCTTCCCTGATAGCTCAGTAGGTAAAGAATCTGCCTGCAATGCAGGAGGCCCCAGTACAATTCCTGGGTTGGGAAGATCTGCTGGAGAAGGGATAGGCTCCCACTCCACTATTCTTGGGCTTCCCTTGTGCTCAGCTGGTAAAGAATCCACCTGCAATGCGGGAGACCCGGGATCGATCCCTGGGTTGGGAAGATCTGCTGGAGAAGGGAAAGCCCCACTCTAGTATTCTGGCCTGGAGAATTCCATCGACTATATATATAGTTCATGGGGTTGCAGAGTCAGACACAACTAAGCAACTTTCACTTACATTCACGTGCAATTAGAATATGACATCTACTGAAAGCAGTTAGCCAACATAGAACAATTTTTAAAGAAACTGCACTCCGGGCAGTTTATGACAATAATTAAGTACTTAATGATCCAAATGATCATTATCTAATATTAAGAATTCAATGAGAAGACATGTCTTGAAGTCACCTTAAAAGTACGAATTAAAGTACATAAACCACAAAGGTACAAACAAAAATCTTGGTGGAGAAAAAACAAAATATTAATAAAAGTCTTATAAATCTTTTTCTATACCCTAATTTCTGTAGAGCAGACCTTGAATACACACCAGGATCTATAGTGAGACCACCTGGTATCTTTGAATCAGCAAATATCTCATTAAAACATCAACAGTGAGTGACCCACTTACTCATCACATTTAACAGCATTCCGTATTGTGTCACATGTTAGGTAGGAAGGAGGAAAAGGGAGACAACTTTATTTTACGAAAGTCTGATAATCTAAAATCCTTTTACAGATTAATTTTTCTACTATGTCTTTCAAGGAAAAAAAAAGAGTACATGTAAGAATTTAATTTAACATCAATATAAACCAGAGAAAAGTTACCTTTCCTGCTCCATTTGTTAGTGCCACTACTGATGACAGGATGCAGTCATTAGTTGTTATGAGCTTCTGTGTTGTTGTTGGAAGTTCAAGCTCTATTGTGGCCTTTTGACTATAATGTTTGGAAATATCTATGAACCCAATCAAATGAAAATTCATCAGTATCTATATACAAGTTGGATACAGTTAACCAACCCGTTGACCTCTCATAACTATGCTTACAAATTTACAAAACAAGTCTGACAAAAAACGGTCCCAAATATCATAATTGGGCTGAATCTCAATTAGGTCTCAAGTCTACTTGCAAAGAAGAGAGAGTATTGAGGGTCTCTTAGCACCATCCTGGGGTCACTATTATAGCCTAGAGCATGTGGGTCTCGGTCTCCTTCATCTGAGAGTCAGTCCTTATTCTAATGCTGGGTAAATGACCCTGACCAGTATTTACCAGTTAAAAACTTTGTTTTGACAGTCTAGTAGGCACAAATGAGAATTTTTATTGGGCTTATATAAACAAACTATGAGGCTGGAAAAGAACAGCCAACATAGGCATGGTGACCCACAATCCTTATTGGATCTTAACCAGTTTGCCAGAACACACTTTAACAGTGTGTTTGCAAATAAGAAAGGTTTGCACGGCCAAATAAGGATTGAACACTGCAGTGTCTGGCTTCATATTCTACTGCCTCCAGTCCAAGAAAATTACAACAAAGGCCTGTGGTTCTAAAAGCATAGAAGAGAGGCTTAGACATAAACATGTTGAGAGAAACAGCAGTAGGTGAAACTCGCCAAAGAGCTAAACTTGGGGTTTTCTGGGTCTCTAAGAAATAAAATAATTTCATCCTGGAAATAAGGGGAAACAGAATTAGCAAGACAATACTGATTTGTGAGGAAGGACAACTATATTTGTAAATAATAAAGAGCTTACAATACAGCCTCCTCTGAATTGTTAGAACACTTCAGTTACAACAGCATTACCACTACCAACAAAGCGAAAAATGGATCACAAGACATGGAAATTAACTGCTGCAGCAGGCGTGTATATGAAGACCTTCATTTATTCAGAATCAAGAAATTTAGTTGATTTTAGACTACAGATAAGTAAGAGGAAATAAGACTATTTAGAAATAAGAGATTTAACATGGTATGACCATGATATTTTAGCACAATTTAAATTTATTTAAGACTAGAAAAAAGATTTAACGTGGTATGACTATAATATTTTTAGCACAAAATCACTGTTTTATGAAGACTTCTTTTACTAAAATTTAAAGCTAAGAAATTGTGTTATTTATATACATTTTATGTATATATACAAATATATGTAAACTTTTCCATACAAAAGCTTTTAAGATAGTCTTAGATTTATAAAAAATTTACAGAGTTTCCAGATACCCTTAGCCAGTTTTCACTATGGTTAACATCCTATGTTAATATGGTACAGCTGTCACAGTGAAGAAACCAACTAATTGGTACATTAACATTATGTCTAATATATTTTAAAAAATAAATTATTATCTTCTATAAATTCATAAGACAGCTAAGTGAATAAAAATTCAGTTGCAATGCTAGACATTTTTGGTATACCGAACTTGCTAGCTCCCAAAGCAGACATCATCTTTCTACACACCACAGAAAGTTTTACTCAATATTTTACTGTCTGTATACAATGTAAAATACAACTGAGTTGGCAGGCAATCTTGGCTGACTGTATAAGTAATTAAAATACTTATAAAAGATGTATAATACTGAGAACCCTCCCATGGCTTCTAGTGGATCAAAGCTACTGTAGTTTGAGATAATAATTCTCCCCATCCAACTGTTTACTATTTATTGAATCTAAACATTTTAATTATTTAGGGAGTTCCTCGACGTTAAATTTTAACTTCAAAAAGAACAAGGAAATCATGTGACCTAGACTAGACATTTATTTTTGTTTATTGTTTCCTATCACTCTACCTGCTTTAGACTTGAGACTAAAGATCAAACAATTCTCACTTGTTAAAAGGTTAATTCATTCCCATTTTAATTCCTTGTAGGACACACATTTTCATAAACCTCTCTCTCCCACTTTTTATATTAAGACCAGCCTGCCTGCTTGCTTGCCTTCCTTCCTTCCTTTTTCCCAACTTGAACCAAGCAATTATGCAAGGCAAAGCATCAAGGGAAAAGATCTGACATAAGAGCTCTCTTAAAAACAAAGTTTACTCTGTTAATGCTGACTCTGAGTTTTCATGAGAGATACACAACACTCTTTCTTCCAACTAGGTAAGAAGACAGATTTGAACTGTAAACCTATCAACAAGAGCCCATAATCTGCTTGCCAACCATTCTTCACGTTTCCCAATAGTTTTAATTTACATTATGCACACTTTCAAGAACACAAACGAGCAGAGGCACAAAAAGGGCTTACGAGGCCTCTGATTTTCCCATAATCTCCACCAGCTCTTGACAAATAACAGTAACATCCTTCGATTTGGACCACTTGGCATCTAATGCCACATATGAACAAAAGCATCTTCAGAAAACTTAGAAACACAGTATTATTTATAGAAATATAATAAAATCAAGATTTTTCAATGTAAATAAAGCTTTAAGATCCTTCTCAATGGATAGCTCCCTTCCATGGCTCTAGCCCCTCCATTATCAAAATTCTAGCAAAAATACTAGTAGGAACAAATCATAATATTAGCACAGGAAAACTTAGGAAACAAAACCAAAAAATCTGTAGCCACAGAGCTATTTGTGGTTTCAATGGCCTAGTTCTAGGTTAAGTAAAATTCTGGAATAGAAGACTATGGTTAAGTCTGAGCTCCCCAAATCAAAAGCTGTGCAGGAAAAAAGTACTAGTCCCTTTTGGGTTTTCTATGGACCAGACTAGGTTCTGCAGAGTTGGGACTGACTATTGTTACCTGCCACCAAATCTGTCTATGCAAGCTGTGATTTCTGCAACCAGAGCTAGCTCCAGAAGTACAGTGACTTCTACAGTTCCTCATAATTGAAGACAAGCCTCAAAAAGGACCATTTCGAGACTAAGGTGGTATTGGGTAATACTACTGAGACTAAGATAGATTCCCAGTAACACAGATTATGTGTCAGTTTATAGAAGGGCCCCCAGTATACACATTTTATACATGAAATCCAAAAAAATCTTAAGTTTTTTAAATATATTTTCTGTGAAACCATTAATTGGTCACTAACCATACACTAAACACCACAATGAAAAATCTAGGTACCTGGGCTACTTCCAAAGGTGGTGACTTAGTCACTAAGTCATGTCCATCTCTTGCGACCCCATGGACTAGCATGGACTAACCATGGACTGTACCCTGCCAGGCTCCTCTGTCCATGGGATTCTCCAGGCAAGAATACTGGAGTGAGTTGCCATTTCCTTCTCCAGGGTATCTCCCCAAACCAGGACTCGAACCCAGGTCTCTTGCATTGCAAACAGATTTTTTACCTACGAAGCTACAAGGGAAGCCCTACTTCCAATAGTCCTGAATAACTGCTCTGCCCTCTCTTTCTGCTCCTACTCCAATAGCCACCAAAAGCAAAAGAGAGAGGGGAAAGAAACCAAAAGCCATGCAGAGATATAGATTAAAAAGTCAGGACTCAGAATCACATGCTAAGAAGCAAATGAAATTCCTTTCAACAAACATATTCTTAGGAGCACATTGCAAGTGAAAACTGACCAAAGTTTGAAAACAGACCTTCAGTCTGTAAGTTTCTCCTGAACAAAACAGGATTTATAATGGGTACTCTCAACATAAAAATGCACAGGAAGGCAGAAAACCAGTACAATATTTCTAGGAAATGTACACCTTTGTTTCCTCAGTCCCTTCATGCTTGGGCTCTAATAAGTGCAGTATTTTGCTAAATGCCTCTGAATAGCATGTCTGACTTGATAAAATTCATGCACCTGCCTTAAATCAGCATAATGTATTTTTGGCTAAAGTTCTGCACACAAGGGTTTCTCATCAGTACTTTGTCTACCTTCAGGAAAGAAGCAGATGGGAAAAGCAGAAGGCAGTAAGCTGTGTACTTTAACGTAAGCCAAATGCTACTAAGCCTTTATCTGGGGTCTATTAGCCTTGGCAGTATTTGTTTAAATCTCATTCAGGCAGATCTCAGAAAAGGGATGAAGCTTATTTATGTTCTTTTTCAAGTCTCACCTTTCATGACATCATGGAATCCATGAAGAGCAGCACCAACATTTGTTAACACAGAACTGTAGTTTGTCCGAAGAAGTCCATCTGGCTCTGTACCTAGGAAACCAAGATCACAGACCTAAGCTTTGTCCCAGAAAACTCCACCTGAAAAACTGAGCCCACCATCTTCTCTCCACCTTCGGGAAGAGAATCACTTGTACCACTTGTGACATGTTGAACATAATGGCTCTCAAAATTCCTGCAGACACATTCAGACAGAATGGTGATGATTATAGACACCTAAACAGATCTGGAGCAGCAGCGGCGCAGCACTGGAGTGACTGTGAGGAGATGCTTCGCGTCCAAGGGCAGAGATATATAAGGGTCATCGGAGTTAAATTCATCCATTCCAGTCCATTTTAGTTCACTGATTCCCAAAATGTCGACGTTCACTCTTGCCATCTCCTGTCTGACCAATTCCAATTTGCTTTGATTCATGGACCTAACATTCCAGGTTCCTATGCAATATTGCTCTTTACAGCACTGGACTTTGCTTCCATCACCAGTCACATCCACAGCTGGGTGTTGCTTTGGCTCCGTCTCTTCATTCTTTCTGGAGTTATGTCTCCACTGATCTCCAGGAGAATAGTGGGCACCAAGAGACCTGGGGAGTTCATCTTTCAGTGTCCTATCTTTTTGCCTTTTCATACTATTTATGGGGTTCTCTAGGCAAGAATACTGAAGTTGTTTGTCATACCCTTCTTCAGTGAACCACATTTTGTCAGAACCCTCCACCAAGTACGTCTTGGGTGGCCCTACATGGCATAGTTTCATAGTTTCATTGATGTAGACAAGACTGTGGTCCATGTGATCAGATTGCTTAGTTTTCTGTGACTGTGGTTTTCAGTCTGTCTGCCCTCTGATAGAGAAGGATAAGAGGCTTATGGAAGCTTCCTGATAGGAGAGACTGACTGAGGGGGAAACTGGGTCTTGTTCTGATGGGCGGGGCCATGCTCAGTAAATCTTTAATCCAATTTTCTGCTGATGGGTGGGGCTGTGTTCCCTCCCTGTTATTTACCTGGGGGCAAACCCTGGTGGAGGTAATGAAGGTAATGGTGACCTCCTTCAAAAGGTCCCTTGCAGGCACTGCTACACTCAGTGCCCCTGACCCTGCAGCAGGCACCGCCAACCCACGCCTCCACCGGAGACTCATGGATACACCCAGGCAAGTCAGGGTCAGCCTCTTGGGGTCACTGCTCCTTTCTCCTGGGTCCTGGTGTACACAGGTTCTGTTTGTGCCCTCCAAGAGTCTTTTTCCCAGTCCTGTGTAAGATCTGGCAGCTCTATGGTGGGGTTAATGGCGACCTCCTCCAAGAGGGCTTATGCCATACCCAAGTCTGCTGCACCCAGAGCCCCTGACCCTGTGGCAGGCCACTGCTGATCTGTACCTCCACAGGAGAGGCTCAAACACAGTTCTGACTCAGTCTCTGTGTGGTCTCTGGGTTCTGGTGCACACAAGGTTTGTTTGAGCCCTCTGAGCATCTCTGGCGGGAATGGGATTTGATTCTAAATGCGAACTTGCCCCTCCTGCCGTCTTGCCGGGTCTTCCCCTTTGCCCTTGGACGTAGGCTATCTTCTCACAGCTGCTCCAGTGTTGTGCAGCCGCCGCTCCAGCGCCTACCATCTTGCTGAGGCTCCTCTGACCTTGGACGTGGAGTATCTCATGAGTGAGAGTGAAAAAGTTGGCTTAAAGCTCAACATTCAGAAAACTAAGATCATGGCATCCGGCCCCATCACTTCATGGCCAGTGGATGGGAAAACAGTGCAAACAGTGACAGACTTTATTTTTGGGGCTCCAAAATCACTGCAGATGGTGACTGCAGCCATGAAATTAAAAGACACTTACTCCTTGAAGAAAAGTTATGACCAACCTAGACAGCATATTAAAAAGCAGAGTACATTACTTTGTCAACAGAAGTCCATCTAGTCAAAGCTATGGTTTTTCCAGTAGTCGTGTATGGATGTGAGAGTTGGACTATAAAGAAAGCTGAGCTCCAACTGAGCTCCAAAGAATTGATGCTTTTGAACTGTGGTGTTGGAGAAGACTCCTGAGAGTCCCTTGGGCTGCAAGGAGATCCAACCAGCCCATCCTAAAGGAAATCCATCCTGAATATTCATTGGAAGTACTGATACTGAAGCTGACACTCCAATACTTTGGCCACTTGATGTGAAGAACTGACTCATTTGAAAACACCCTGATGCTGGGAAAGATTGAAGGCGGGAGGAGAAGGGGACGACAGAGGGTGAGATGGTTGCATGGCATCAGTGACTCAATGGACAAGAGTTTGAGTAAGCTCCGGGAATTGGTAATGGACAAGAAGGCCTGGTGTGCTGTAGTCCACGGGGTCGCAAAGCACTGGATGCAACTGAGCAACAACTGAACTGAACTGAAACAGATTTGCATCCCCCATGTCCACAGTTAGTAATAGTTAAGAATCAAAATTAAATTGCTAGGTAGGATTATGTCTTTCATGATTCTCTATGAAATGAAAAGTCTTTGTGAATTTCACCTGTTACTATAGAACACATTTCTCATTTTGTTCTTTTCCCTACATATTACTGTTTGCTGAACATCACTAAAAACACTATTATTCAAACATCGCATAAGCAAGCTCCACATATCCACTTTCCAGCCCAACTGATGAAAATTATTTAAAAACAACCACTTAAAACTCTGGAAAATTGTTTCAAGAGAACAGCATCAAAACATGTATATTATCTAGGGTGAAAGAGATCACCAGCCCAGGTTGGGTGCATGAGACAAGTGCTCGGGCCTGGTGCACTGGGAAGACCCAGAGGGATCGGGTGGAGAGGGAGGTGGGAGGGGGTACCGGGATGGGGAATACATGTAAATCCATGGCTAATTCATTTCAATGTATGACAAAAACCACTGCAATGATGTAAAGTAATTAGCCTCCAACTAATAAAAATAAATGGAAAAAAAAAAAAAAACTCTGGAAATTATCCTAAGGGCATCCAGCTAATGAAGAAGCAGTTATTCAAGAAAATCTGTATCAATTCACTGACAACAGCAACAATCTGTGGTATCTGAACCCACTCCCATCCCCCCCACCCAGTCACTGAGCTAGAAACCCCAGTCCAGAGAGTACAGCAAAGAACTCCAAACTCCCTCGCCCTAATTCAGTAGAGAGCCGCATTCCTTATCCTGCTCTCAGCTCCCTGTTGCTAAGACTAAATTCTAGTTAAGTATGACTCAGGGGTGGGGGTTCTCTTCTTTCACCCAGCCCTGACTTGTGGGATGTCGAGAATCTGTGGCCATGAACACCCTGGCCCCAGCTCAGTAACAGGAGTTCCTTGCTGAAAGAGGCAAGTAGAGGTGACAGGGGGCTGCTACCCTCTCCATGGAGTACTCAGCTATACATACAGGGATGTCACTCTAAGAGAAGTACATCTTTGTCCTCACCCCTAGCACAGAACTATGCCTCAAAGATTTAACCCAGAGGAGAAATATTCATTTAAACAGAAAACTCTGAATCTTTTCCCAAAGGAATTGACTTTATTCACAACAGACTATAACGAAGTTCAAGCCCAGGGGTACCGTCAAAAATAATGGCACCTGTGCTCAAGGTAACTAGGAGGAAATTGGTAGGTTCATTGGAGACATAAGGTAAACAGACAACGATGATCAACCGATTCTTAACAGGGGTGCCAAGACCACTCAATATGGAAGAAACAGTCTTTCTAATAAATGGTACTGAGACAACTGGACAGTCACATGCAAAAGATGAAGCTGGACCTTTACCTCACACTATATACAAAAATTAACTCAAAATGGATCCAAGACCTAAATGTAAGAGCTAGAAGTATAAAACAAAAGAAAACCTAAAGGTGGGCAAGAATCCCTTAGAAGAAATGGAGTAGCCCTCATAGTCAACAAAAGAGTCCAAAATTTAGCACTTGGATGCATCTCAAAAATGACAGAATGATTTCAGTTCATTTTCAAGACAAACCATTCAACATCCCAGTAACCCATGTCTATGCCCCAACCACTAATGCCAAAGAAGCTGAATGGTTCTATGAAGACCTACAAGACCTTCTAGAACTAACACCAAAAAAAGATGTTCTTTTCTTCATAAAGGACTGGAATGCAAAAGTAGGAAGTCAAGAGACACCTGGAGTAACAAGCAAGTTTGGCCTTGGAGTACAAAATGAAGCAGGGCAAAGGTTAATAGAGTTTTGCCAAGAGAACGCACTGGTCATAGCAAACACCCTCTTCCAACAACGCAAGAGAAGACTCTACACATGGACATCACCAGATGGTCAACAATGAAATCAGATTGATTATATTCTCTGCAGCCAAAGATGGAGAAGCTCTATACAGTAAGCAAAAACAAGACCGGGAGCTGACTGTGACTCAGATCATGAACTCCTTATTGCCAAGTTCAGACTTAAATTGAAGAAAGTAGGGAAAACCACTAGACCATTCAGGTATGACCTAAATCAAACCCCTTATGATTACACAGTGGAGATGATGAACGGATTCAAGGGATTAGCTCTGGTCAACAGAGTGCCTGAAGAACTATGGAAGGAAGTTTGTAACATTGTGCACGAGGCGGTGACCAAAACCATCCCCAAGAAAAAGAACACAAGCAGGAAAAATGGTTATCTGAGGAGGCCTTACAAATAGCTGAGAAAAGAGGAGGAGCAAAAAGCAAGGTAGAAAGGGAAAGATATAACCAACTGAATGCAGAGTTCCAGAGCATAGCAAGGAGAGATAAGAGAGCCTTCTAAGCAATGACGAACCTAGACAGCATATTAAAAGGCACAGATGTTACTTTGCCAACAAAGGTCTGTATAGTCAAAGCTATGGTTTTTCCAGTAGTCATTTACGGATATGAGAGCTGAACAATAAAGAAGGTTGAGCACCAAAGCATTGATGCTTTTGAACTGCAGTGCTGGAGAAGACTCTTGAGAGTTCTCTGGACAGCCAGGAGATCAAACCAGTCAATCCTAAAGGAAATCAACACTGAATATTCACTGGAAGGACTGATGCTGAAGCTGAACCTCCAATGCTTTGGCCACCTGATGCGAAGAGCCGACCCCCTGGAAAAGACCCTGATGCTGGGCAAGATTGATGGCAAGAGAAGGGGGAGACCGAGGATGAGACGGTTGGATGGCATCATCAACTCAATGGACATGAGTTTGAGCAAACTTCGGGAGATAGTGAAGGACAGGGAAGCCTGGCGTGCTGCAGTCCATGGGGTCACAACACGACTGAGTGACTGAACAAGTCTTAGTCACTAGACCACCGGGGATGTCCTTGTACATTCTTAATTTAACTCAGTAACACATTTACCTTCATTTTATAAGTGGGAAAACAGAAGCAGAAAAGTAAAGTGATTTTCCCAAAGTCATAAACGTATAAAGGGCTGCAGGATATGAATTCAAGTCTTTCTGGCCCCAGATCCTAGGCTCTTCTCACTCAAACATGCCAAACCACCTCCCATCTCCAACTTCTTATACTCTAAGTTCTTCACATTGAACCAGAAGTAACAAAGGCACTTACTTGGCAAGGCAAGAAGAGCAATGTAAGTCTGCAGCTTCTCAAACATAGCTGTCATCTTTTTCATGTCCTGGGACAGCTCTAGATTCCTGGCTCGTAATGCAGACGTGCAAAGGGAAGCGTCACATTCTTCTTCTAGGCTAGGAATGGGCAGATTTTATAAAAGTGAGCATCCCAAATGATTTTCAATCAGCTATAAGAGACTACCTAAATTCTAAAACATCTATATCCGAAGAGAGAATGTACCAAAAAAATAAACTTGAGCTCATTGACAAGGTTCCATTTTGTTATACCATCATGTACACACTGGCTTCCTCCAATGCCAATGCAGCAGAAGACAACTAAATGGAAGAAAAGGTGCCCACTGTCTTCCATCCTGAGAGCAGCACAAAACTGCTTCCCTTTAAAATATTTTCAGGAGAAACATACTTCATAGGCTGAATTTCTAAAGAGAATTAAACAGGCACTGGGAGAGAGAATCAATAAAAAACCTTTTTCAGTGAGTTGTTGTTTAGTCACTAACTCATGTCCGACTCTTTGTGACCCCATAAACTGCAGCCCACCAGTCTCCTCTGTCTGCGGGATTTCCGAGGCAAGAATACTGTTGTGGGTTGTCATTTCCTTCTCCACGGGATCTTCCTAACCCACGGATTGAACCCATGTGCTGTATTAGTAGGTAGATTCTTTATCACCGAACCATCAGGGAAGTGTTTTTAATTTCAAACGTCAGACAGATTGGAAAAACCAATCTATAAGTGCAATACAAAAGTAAATGCTTAACATTCACAAAATATAATCATTTTCCATTTTAAATGGTGCTTGGGAAAACTTATTATAAGGTTAAAAATCTATGTAGACTCTTAAGAGTACTTATTAAAATGTGCAATAATCAAGTAAAATGCTTTTTACACAAAGCTAGAAAAGTTATCAGCACAAGAATTATATACTTGTGATGTGAAATCAAGAATCACATCCATTCCCTTGACCTTGACACTTCTGCTCTATTTATTTATAGCAGACAGCTTCATTCAATACTAAACCCATTTACTACTAATGAGCATGGCATCTTGCAACTAGAGTGGTATTTAAACCAATGGCAAAAAAAATTGCCTAAAATACATGAAAATCTGATAAGGTAGGGCTGAAAGCATATGGGACAGAACATTCCCAAGAACAGGAATCTTAGATCAAGAAAGGACTTACCCAGGGTTTCTAAAAACGTAATAGTGAAAAAATAAATTAAGATAAAATAAAAATGCATTAACTCTTTCACGTAGTAAATACCACTTTTACAATGATTCTTACATTCTTTTAAACATAAGCTGAATCAAATAAAGTATATTCAATTCAGTGTTAAACTTTCAGAGTCAATTTTCAGAAAAACTTCAATTATACTGAACTAAAACATTTAAGGATCTGAAAGAAACTATAATTCACAATTATGAGGTCATAATTCCCTGATTCCTAAAATTCTGTCATGTGCACAAATCATAGAATTCGGTTACTGAAATACCTTGTTAGGTTAGAATTAGGAAATAAGATGGTTCTTAACATATATAAATTTTTTAATAATACAATTTCATATTTTTGAAAAGTTAAAACCTACTACTTTAGTTTATAAGGACTAAAAAACTATTAATTACTTGTATATTTTCAGTATCTGTAAGCTTTTCATCTATGCCTTTCCTAAACCTTATTTTGCAATCTACTGTAATACCTATGGGTTTCCCAGGTAGCTCAGCGGTAAATAATCTGCCTGGCAATGCAGGAGACAGGTTCAATCCCTGGGTCAGGAAGATGCCCTAGAGAAGGAAATGGCAACACACTCCACTATTCTTGCCTAGAGAATCCCCAAGGACAGAGAAGCCTGTCGGGCTACAGTCCATGGGGTTGCAAAGAGTCAGTCATGACTTACGGAATAAACAACAATAATAATACATATCAATAATAGTACATATATGTTCTCATTTCTCTTATTTCCAGTTGTATTATTCTTTGTCTTTTTTAAAAGACTAAATCTTAGGATGAAAAGATTTAGATGAATTAGGAGCTTTGTAGTTTTAGATCGAAAGTATCAAAATGTACAATCAGTTCAGTTCAGTTCAGTCGCTCAGTCGTGTCCGACTCTTTGCGGCCCCATGGACTGCAGCACGCCAGGCGTCCCTGTCCATCACCAACTCCTAGAGTCCACCCAAACCCATGTCCATTGAGTCAGTGATGCCATCAAACCATCTTATCCTCTGTCATCCCCTTCTCCTCCTGCCCTCAATCTTTTCCCAGCATCAGGGTCTTTTCAAATGAGTTAGCTCTTCACATCAGGTGGCCAAAGTATTGGAGTTTTCAGCTTCAACATCAGTCCTTCCAATGAACACCCAGAACCCAGAACTGATCTCCTTTAGGATGGACTGGTCTAGTCTCAAATTTCCAGTTATATAAATTATTTTCTCTTGACTTTTCAGGAATGTTTAAGATGGAATATTTAAGGTTACTAAATGACTCATCCTATGAGGGTTGGAGGATGTACACAGTTTTTATTTTGTAACTTAAATCACCAATAATAAAAACAGCATACTATTTAAAAGAAACCTAAGGATTACAGATTCAAATATAGAGGTTAACTATTACCTCCATCTAGATGTTTTCAGTAAAAGAATAACAAATACCGAAACCTAAAATATTTCCTTTAATAAATGTGTCATTCACAATTACTAAAAACACTGGTTCATGTTGCATTACATGGTTATAGCACTAATTACAGTTCAAAACTATTGAAGAAACTCTAGCTGAGAAACTACAATTCAGTTTTCTTAAATATAAGTCTGTGCTGCTCAAGCCATGATTTTCCTTTCTCACAAACATCCAAATTGGCTGTGGTGCAAAAAGGTCAGGCAGAGCCCAAGAGGCACAGGCTGTTACTTTATTAACTCCAGCACAGCTCAGAGGACCAGCACAGCTCAGAGGACACCTCACAATTCCCCAAGCTCTCTGGCCCAGAGCAGTACCTTTTTAACTGATAAGGAAGAATCTTCCTAAGAAAACATATGTAAGAGGTTAAGTGCTCTGAAAAAGTTTTCAATTTCACAGTTGTCTCCTGGAAAAGAAAAACAATTCCAAGATTAATAATTTTGTCTGAAAAAGCAGCACTCCCACTTCCAGAAGTAAACCAGAAGAAAATTACCAGGACGGTCACAGTATCCTCAGTAATACTTTCAAATAAATGAAGCATTCCTTCCTCAAGAGGGCGGACGTAGGATGCATTTTCATGAAGATACTGTGAGAACTAAAAAGCAGGGGAAGAATTCTGAATTAAATCACTGGAAAATAAAGGATATCAAAACATCTGTAAATAGACCCACTGAATTATAAACCTTAATTCTTTTGCAAACTTTTTCTTGGGAAATTTGACTTTTACACAAAGTTCCCCTCTAACAATCCCAGATACTAAACCCAAGCGCCCATTCCATGGCAAAGTGACAAACCAGCAGATGGATGACATAATTAACAACTAGGCATGAGGCAAGTGGGGAGGGGATACTATTAACAACACAGCACCAACAGGCCTTCTTTCCGAAACAACCACTTCTTCATAGGGGTGCCAGTTAAGATTAAAAAAAAAGATTTGATACTTGAGTCAAAACCGTAGGACAGATTTTTGTGTTACATAACTCATTTTTTACAAACAAGACTTTTGAGTACAGCTTATATTCAGTGCATACAATGTTCAAGGTTAATACATTCTAGGAATATAACTATCATCAAAATGAGAATATAAAAACTTTTATAACTGTCATGGATATTATAATACTTATGAAGAACTAATTCAATATGAAGAACAGATTCAGAAAAAGATCCCCCAGGCATTGAGACAATTGAGAAACAAGAAGTTAATTTTTCACATGCAAATATCTCAGTTTTTTAAATATTGTATAATGGCTCAAATATTGAGTTCTCCGTATACAAATGTAAAGTCTCATTTTGCAGAAATGTGATTCAATTAGTCCAACTGCAAACTACACAGATATATGGGCCCTGGAAAACTCAGTCTCTCTGGGCTGTTAAATAAGTTGAACTCTAAGCTCATGTATAAAAGTCTACTTTATGATTTTATGAACAAGTCTAAATGCTTTGGTTATCTTTTAACAAATGGTTACTGAATCTTCAATAATAGAGACTTAATAGAAAAGTCACAGAGGGTCTTTCAGAGATAAAAGTACCAAAGGTAAAATACTGAGAAAAATATGAATTCTTCAGAGTAATGAAATATTTCCATTATGATTGACATATTTGATTCTCCCTGTGTGAGCACAATATGGTAACAAGCTAAGTAAAATAATGGTGGGAATTCCCTGGCAGTCCAGTGGTTAAGATGCAGTGCTTTCACTGCTGGGGCCCAGGTTCAATCCCTTGTTGGAAAACTAAGATCCCACAAGCTGCATGGTATGGCCAAAAAAGGCCCCCAAAACAAAAAAAAAAAAAATAAAATAATGGACAAAGAACCAATGAGAGAAAAATGCTTTTATATTACAAGAAGTGTTAAAAGAAAATATAACTGCCTTAAATGCTAGTTCCATTTTCCTTACCCAGGTCATCTGAAAGCTTTTTCCCACAGTGATATTAAAGAGCATTTCAAAAATTCAAACTTTAATTTTTATGAACTTTAAAAGGTTTGTGGTGAAAACTTTTGTAGGGAAAAAACACCTACCCCACTTCTCTCCTCCTATGCAAACCATGCTCATTTTTCAAAGCCCAGTTAAATCACCAGAGTCTCCCAGACACTACCACCAACAGCAGTCTCCCCCCCTTGATGGTGTCACATTCACCGACTGCCCAGACCACTTATTCACACTTAGGTCTCCCAGCATACCCCTCCCTATTTCACTTCGTACCAGTCTCCGTGTTTACCCTACTGCTTGACGGCAAAGGCTATGACTTGGAGTTCCTCCCATGTCCTCTACAGTACTTGGCTGAAGCACAGAACTAGTCTAATACACAGCAAGTCTCCAGATCTGTTCAGGGCAGACAGGTATCCTGAGTTAAACGTACCTTCTGATTCAATGGAGATATTGTGTCAATGGCAGAATCAATAGGAAAAATCTGAATCCTCTGTTCTGTGTAGGTGTGGAAGTTCAGAAGAGCCTTGACAAGATCTTGAACAAAAGCCAGGGCCTGCCCAGCGATATCCCGCATCTTCAGCTTTAAAATGAAAAACATACAGTTAAAGTCAACTATCAGGTTATAACTCCCAAACAACTTTATTAAATCTGCTTTTGGAGAAAACATTTGAACTCTAAAATAATTATTCCTTAATTAAAGTCATTTGATCCCACTTATATTTTAATACTATCATCTAAGTAAATTAGAAAGCTGTCCATTTTGGCTAATATACCTCCTCCACTTAACCTAAAGTGCAAAGGCCACCAACCTAAAAGAAAGGTATGACAAAAATCAATGCATCCCACAATTCAGTTCTAATGTTGTAAGACATTACATGTTGTAAGCAAAAATGTGCATAATTTACAAAGTCAAAAAATAACATGTCCCATGATTTTTTTAAATGTATGAGAAAAGAAAGTAAAAGTTAAATACAATGGTTTGGGGCACTAAATAGAGGCCCAAACAACTAACTGGTGTTTCTGAAAAGTTTGATATGCACATTACTGAAAATAAAAACTTCCTCTTTACCTGATGTCTCCTATTGTGGACTGGAACATTCAGAGCATTATATTGGCTATATTCTTCAAAACAAAAATGGATATACATTAAGTCATTTTTACATTTACAGAAAAAGAGCTTAACTGAGAAATAAGAAATGCTCACCCCATTTGCCAGCTCATCTCCACTCAGTCCCTTCCCTTCCTGATCACTGGGGTGCACTCTGCACAGGCTTCTTTGTAGTCTATAACCCTCATTCCCACCATTCCCACCAGAGGGGCTCATCCATCGCGACTGGGTCAATATCAGCTTCTCTCCCCAGCTCTAGACTTTTATTTACAAATGTGCACACCAGCCGGTAAAGAGATGCACACCAATCTGTTAGACTACTAAGCCACATCCAAGTTAACCTCCTCATCTCTCCCATAAACCTGCTCCCCAGATCTGCCTCTCTGATCTCTGTCAACTGCACCACGTCTTTTCCCCACACTACCTGCTCTCTCTGCCTTGCCTCCTTGCATCTCCTGACATCTCAGGCTCCAGCCCCCATCCCAGCACACCAGGACCATGACCGCAACAGCATCAGTCTCCTTCTCCCATTCCAGTGTAGCCTACACTCTGTTGCCAGATAAACCAAGTGAGTGCGCAAATCTCATCAAGACATTTCCAGGGCTTCTCTGGTGGCTCAGTGGTAAAGAATCCGCCTGCCAATGCAGGAGACACAGGTTCGATCCCTAATCCGGAAGAATCCCACATGCCTTGGAGCAACTAAGCCCACGTGGTTCAACTACTGAGTGTGTGCTCTGGAGCCTGGGAGAAGCAGCTTAGCCCACATGCCGCAGCTACTGCGGCCTGTGCACCCTAGAGCCTGTGCTCTGCAACACGGGAAGCCTCTGCCATGAGAAGCCCTCACAACGCAACTAGAGAGCAGGCCCCGCTCGCCACAACTAGAGAAAAGCGCACGCAGCAATAAAGACAGAGCACAGCCAAATGTAAATAAATATTGTTTTTTAAAAGGGACATTTCTAAAATCTTCAACAACCTACTGCCTTGTGAATGAAGTCCCAAGTCCTCTGCCCAGAACTTGAGGGTCCAGCCCCACCCACCCTTTCAGAACTTACCTATCATTGGCCTCCATATCCCATCCACTCTAGCCTCCAGTCATACTTAACTAACTAGTACTGTCAGGCCCTGACAGCACCTTTATCCTACATACCACACTCCAAGCAATTCCCTGGCTGGTTCTCCCCCACCTCTCTGACCAATAAAACCTACTTTCACATCCTGGCCCAGCCCAAAGCACACTTCTTCCAGAAGCCTTCCCCAAACAACCCCACCAGCAGTAATCACCATTCCCCTGAAACCCCAAGAAGTTCTTCATGGAATAACTTAGCATATACTTCAGATATTTCTCTATCTTATCGTCCCCCTACTAGACTATAAACTCCTTGAGGGTAGAGATTTTTGTCTTATACATTTTTGCATATCCTATACAAAATTTAGACCTTCAGCAAATAATCTCTAAATATTTCAGAACTAAAAGTAGTACCTCTACTGGTGACATGATAAGCACCTACAACAGGGTGACAACTAGTACTGGAAAAGAAAGGATTATCCCAAAGAGATTCAGATGGCAATGATTAGAACCTGATGACTAAGGATTAAGGAGCAAATGAAATGCCAAGGATTCAAGTCTAGTGGATCAAAGTATGCTGATGCTATTTACATTAATGTAGAAAGCAGTAACAGGTGTTGTTTTCAGAGGAATTTAGGTTTTTGATATGATAATGACATATGCTGATTTCAGTTTTAGAGCAAACTGCTATTTTTCTTTTTCTTTGTCTTTTCTTCCCTCTTTTTTTAGGTCTTTCCTAAGAAAAATTGAGAAGTCAAAAATTAATTTCAATCATATAATTATAAAAAGGAAAATGCATACTACATTGAATTTAAGTTTCAAACAACTATTTTCTTTGTCTTTAAGATTTTGACTTAATACTTGGGCTTCCCTAGTGGCTCAGAAAGTAAAGAATCTGCTTGCAGTGCAGGAGACCTGGGTTCGATCCCTGGGTCAGGAAGATTCCCCGGAGAAGGGAATGGCTACCCACTCCAGTATTTTTGCCTGGTGAGTTCAATGGACAGAGGAGCCTGGTGGGCTACAGTCCATGGGGTTGCAAAGAGTCAAACACAACAAAGTGACTAACACTTTCAAACACATACACGCAAGTCAATTTTAAGTTCTCTTTGGTGCCCCTGGTTATGTAAATTACCAGATCCTTCCAAGGAAGAGGGGGAAGCAGGCACACCCAAGTCAGCTCCAGAACTATCGCTGCGCATTGTCCAAAGGGCAGGAGATATCTGACAGAGAAGATTCACCTCCCACCCATCCCGCTACTCCTCTTCCGCCTTGCCATCCATTGTGATCAGCTTTTCTTGTATAAGTATTCAGGTACTTTATGTGTACAGGCTGGTTTTCATGTTAGGATATGTTAAATACATGCAATTGAAAAATGTAGCTTTGGGCTTTTTCCAAGAAGACTAGCTTCAGAACAGTTATGTGACAACTTAAAATCTCCCTATAAGACATGAGGGCCAAAGCTGATCAAAAGGACAAAAAGAAACCAAACTTCTGTTGGGCGAGTGAGATTTTCAGCCAAGTACATTAGAAACTATTTTAATAAGATGGCTATCCTAAAAAGGTTCAGAGCTGCAAATAATGGAAAACTGTACATAATACCTACTTGTATCGTTAAAAGGTAGTTTCTCATTGATGATTGATAAGGATTCTTCTAATCTACTTGACAAATCTTCATGAAGATTCTTTAACTGTAACTGACTGAAAGAAAAAATACAAAACCATATGATCAACAGACAGTGGATCAACATTTGCATGTTACCTCAATAGCTGGTATCAGGCTTTCAGACTGACAGGTTTACCTGACATCTGTATACCCTTAGTAGTAGAGAGTTGTTTAAAAAAAAAAAATGAAGATAAGAAAAAAACTAAGTCTTGATTTTAAAGCCCTTGAGACTCCTGCTGAATAACTAGAAGTTGCAAAGAATTTATCACAGTCCCAGTATCTTATACAATTTTATTTCCCCAAGCTCAAAATCATCTTAGAGCCATTTCAAACTGATAAGATTTTCTCTTTACAACACATTTGTTCAAGTATAACGGTAAAAATTTTTAAAGTATTATAGCAGATTTCTTCTTTGAGCTCAAAATCTGATCATTTTTGGTTTTGATTCAATTAAGAGTATAGGTACATCATGCATTTTCAGTACAACTAAATAGAAGAAATTCACTTGACTGACCCTATCAAAACCTAAAATATGTCATTTATCAAATAAATGTTGGTGCATGCTCTTACCATCCAGAGATAAGTAATATTTTAATAGGTAAATATCTCCAGATTAGATTATACAACCTCATTTTATTTAAAAGGCACCATTTCACTAAAATGTTGGGCTTCCCTGGTGGCTCAGCAGGAAAGAATCTGCCTACATGCAGGAGACACAGGAGATGTGAGTTCGATCCCTGAGTCAGGAAGATCCCCTGGAGAAGGAAATGGCAAACCACTCCAGCATTCTCGCCTGGGAAATCCCAAGGATGGAGGAGCCTGGCAGGCTACAGTCCCTGGGGTCTCAAAGAGTCAGACACGACTTAGCAACTAAACATTAAAAGGTTGACACCACAATCATCAGTCAGTTTTCCTGCCTGGGACTATGAGAAGACCGTCTCTTTAGAGTAGTCTGTCACAGAAAAGCACCCAGTCCTCAATGCAGGAGCCCCAGAATGCCATCTGCCACAGGCCAGAACATCTGCAGGCTGAGGGCCGCTGCACAAGCCACTCTACCAAGAATTCTTAAGGTCCCAGAGATAAAATAACTGAAAAGGCCCCTAGAAATGACCTACTTCTGTCTCACTGCAAATGTGAGAAAATTGAGACAGAGAAGCTACTAAACCAAAATTCAGGTCTTCTGACTCTCACTTCAGGGCCCCTTGGAATTCACATTTCCACATACCATTCTTCTGTCCGAAGTCGACATTCCTTGGCCTCCTTTTCTAGAGTCTGAGATTTTACCTAAATTTTAGAAGGAAAAGAAAAGCATAGCACAGGGAACTCTACTCAATAGTCTGTAGTAACTTATATGGGGGAAAAATCTGAAAAAGAATGAATATATGTATATGTATAACTGAATCACTTTGCTGAACACTTGAAACTAACACAACATTGTATATCAACTATACGCCAATAAAATCAAAAAAATTAAATAAACTATGCCAAACTATATTGCTTGGCTTTCCATTTTGAAATCCTGAAGGTGGTGAAAAATTTTTTCTACTCTTTTTTCCTTTTTTGTTTTCCCCTATAAATTTTATATAGCTACTTATTTGACACTGTGTTCTATTTGCTAGAAATGTGGTATGACAGTCACTATTAACCAAAATTATATGCATATTTGTCTGTGAGAAAAAAAAGAAAAGCAGACGAATCAGGCCACAGATGACAACCTGCTGAATAGACGCTGTAGGCTGCAGTCCCGCCTCGAGTGGCTAACTTTTGTTCTCCAAAGCAGGCAGACGATTTATAAAAGCCCAGACTATTTCTGAACAAGCTCTCACCAACAGGGGCTTACCTCTAGTTTAGCCTTGTCATTCTGCAGCTTCTCGATGGTCTCCATGTATTTCCGCGTCAGGCCATCGACCACAGCTTGGTGCTGAGCCGCCTCCATTTCCAGAGTGGACAGCCGACTCCTCAGCTCTGCTTCCACGTGCTTGTGCTGCTCATCGGCTTCAAAAAACTGAAAAGATCACATTTTCTTCTCACAACCTCCTCATATACACAAATGAAGAGAAAACAATGGCAGTGACTAATCATTGCTGCTGCTGCTGCTGCTAAGTCGCTTCAGTCGTGTCCAACTCTGTGCGACCCCATAGATGGCAGCCTATCAGGCTCTGCCATCCCTGGGACTCTCCAGGCAAGAACACTGGAGTGGGTTGCCATTTCCTTCTCCAATGCATGAAAGTGAAAAGTGAAAGTCAAAAAGTGAGTCATGTCTGACTCAGCCACCCCATGGACTGCAGCCTACCAGGCTCCTCCGTCCATGGGATTTTCCAGGCAGGAGTACTGGCGTGGGGTGCTATCGCCTTCTCCAACTAATCACTGAGTGACCTCCACAAGGTTCCATATGCTCAGTGTACGAAACTGCACAGGCAAGAGCTCAGTGGATCCTCACAGTAGGTCATAGGCAGTGTTACTTGCAGACCCTCCTTTACAGATTGGGAACCTGAAGCTTCAAGGAGCTACCTAACCGTCAACTGTTTCACAGGCACAAACAGACTTCAAAGCCTACATTCCCTTCCCCAACCTATCTCAAGGACTTCTATTTCAAACTACCTCTGGCACAGAGAGAACTAACTCAACTGACCAGTTGAGCACAACTCTTGCTATACTGTTATGCGAACTTCTACAATTAAATAATCAAAATGCAAACAGATGTTACTCCTGTATTAGGTAAAACTCCTTTCCTTAATGAGAATCCTAGCCTATCCCTTCTCCAACAGATCCTCCTGACCCAGGAAGTGAACTGGGGTCTCCTGCATTGCAGGTGGATTCTTTACCAACTGAGCAATCAGGGAAGCCCAATGAGAATTCAACACTAATTAAGAATTATGACTACTTCACACAAAATTCATGAGGTCAAAAATTCATTCTGTAAACATTTTCAAGCACTAAGAATGAAAATTTATTTTCCACTGTTTGATTACGCTCACCATTTCACACACAAAAAATCAGGAGGCACAGTTGAATACACTATACTATGACCCTTAAAATACGCTGACTGGTTTGGAGCAGACATTGATTACTCGACATTCCATAAATATTTGAGGGCATGCCATGAGTGAAGCCCTGTTCTGAGGCTGGACAAAAAAAACTGATACAGTCTGTACCCTAGTGAGACCTTACAGACTAAAAGGGAAACAGACAAAAACCAACTCAACTGCCACAATTAAAATGATAAGCCCCATCTAAATAATCCATCTAAACATGTCCTATATAAAATGAAGAGTCCCCATTATACTTCTGTATCATTAACTTATAGTTATTCAGCTGTCCTCTGAACAAGTGCATATTCAAAGCACACATCCACATTAAAATGTGAGATCTTAGAAATGAAAGAACGACAGTGACATATGTACCCACCAACCACAGGAAACATTAAAACACCGACCCACACACAAAACACTCTATCATGCATTGGTTTTTCCACATTCCAGATCATACGACCCATTTTTTAATTCATATGGAAAAATAGACAATTTTCTCACTTGTATATGCAAGCGTTCATTCTCTTCTATCTTCTTTTGCAGGTCTTCATCAAAGACACTCTTCTGTTCTTGACTCAATTGAGAAGATTCTCCACTTTTCTGATGGAAAGAATAAGTTATGTCCACATCACTTTCATCCTTTAGAGAAACATCCTAAGGTACACAGATTCTCTATCACCTTAGTAGCTTGTCTCTTCTACGTGTTCACCAGTGCCAAACAATCCTGCAAAAGGTATACAGTCCATCATTTAACTTTTCCTATGTGACATAAGTTGGAAATGCAAATACTGCAATGAACAGAAAAGCTTAAAAGAGAGAGAAAAAAAAGAAAAGATAAGGCTCACTATTCTTTGCAGATGAATTTGGTAGTTCTGCTGGGAGACGGAGTAGATACAGAAAATTAGCAACATAAATATGTTAGTAAATATAATTTCAACAATTGATCTCCTGGTTTAAAAAATGACAGTTTTAGCAATTCCATGAGTCTGAGTTGTTAAACTCCTTTAAGAAATTAACAGCATTCACAAAACTACATTTATACAAAAGTTCACATACATTTCTAATTTAAAAAAACACAAGATAAAGCTATTACAAATAAATAGAAGGAAAAAGCACAAAGACTATGAAAAATACCTTCCTTTTGCCTTTATACCAATATTAACTTTTTCTACATAGAAAAATAGCACTATTTAAGAGCCAATAATGAACATTTGTTTTCATGGAATACACACAGAAGTGACACTATTCAACGGACAGTCTAACAATGAAACTGTTCAGACACCAGTCACCACCCTCCTGTGCCTTTCTTGTACTTCACTCCTCTCTTAAAATGAAGTCACTTACTGATCCAACGTGAACTCACGATTAGAAAGCCCTCTGTGACAGCAAAAGAGACACAGATATGTAGAACAGTCTTTTGGACTCTGTGGAAGAGGGCAAGGGCGGGATGATGTGGAAGAATGGCATTAAAACATGTAAATTATCTTATGTGAAACGAATCACCAGTCCAGGTTCGATGCGTGAGACAGGGTGCTCAGGGCCGGTGCACTGGGATGACCCAGAGGGATGGGATAGGGAGGGAGGTGGGAGGGGGGTTCAGGATGGGGAACACATGTACACCCATGGCGGAGTCATGTCATTGTATGGCAAAACCAATACATTATAAAGTAAAAACTAAATAAATAAATAAAACTGAAAGAAAAAAAATAAAGAAACCCCTCTGAAAATGGAGCACCCATGTAATAAACAAATACATAAACACCAAACGTGGACACAAGACATACATTCACACAAAGAACACTGCTGAATGACATATTCTGGTTGCTCAGTAATTCCAAATTTGGAAAGTTTTTATTAAAATTAATTCAGAAGTAATTACACCTAAATCTACAAAAACAGCCCTGAGAGAGGATCTCACTAACCTGGGGATGAGATACAGATGGCTATTTCCCCTCCCCAAGCGTCTTCCAGAATTTCCACAGCATCTGTATTTTGACAAAGTTTTCCAAGAGATTCCAATACGTACCTGTTTTGCACTCTTTGTTCCTCTCTCTGTTCCAATTTCAAGGTAAAAAGGAAGTGGTCAAACAGAAGATGGCAAGAGTGAACACTGACATTTTAGTAATAACTGAACTAAAATGGACCAGAATGGGTGAATTTAACTCAGATGACCATTATATCTACTACTGTGGGCAAGAATCCCTTAGAAGAAATGGAGTAGCCATCATAGTTAACAAGAGTCCGAAATGCAGTACTTGGATGCAATCTCAAAAATGACAGAATGATCTCTGTTCGTTTCCAAGGCAAACCATTCAATATCACGGTAATGAAAGTCTACGCCCCAACCAGTAATGGTGAAGAAGCTGAAGTTGAACAGTTCTATGAAGACCAAAAAGACCTTCTAGAACTAACACTCAAAAAAGATGTCCTTTTCATTATAGGGGACTGGAATGCAAAGGTAGGAAGTCAAGAGATACCTGGAGTAACAGGCAAATTTGGTCTTGGAGTACAGAATGAAGCAGGGCAAAGGCTAACAGAGTTTTGCCAAGAGAATGCACTGGTCATAGCAAACACCCTCTTCCAACAACGCAAGAGAAGACTCTACACATGGACATCACCAGATGGTCAACACCGAAATCAGATTGATTATATTCTCTGCAGCCAAAGATGGAGAAGCTCTATACAGTCAGCAAAAACAAGACCAGGAGCTGACTGTGGCTCAGATCATGAACTCCTTATTGCCAAATTCAGACTTAAACTGAAGAAAGTAGGGAAAACCACTAGACCATTCAGGTATAACCTAAATCAAATCCCTTACGATTATACAGTGGAAGTGACAAATAGATTCAAGGGATTAGATCTGACAGACAGAGGGCCTGAAGAACTATGGATGGGGGTTCGTGATATTGTACAGGAGGCAATGATCAAGATCATCCCTGAAAAATGAATGCAAAAAGGCAAACGGTTGTCTGAGGAGGGCTTATAAATAGCTGAGAAAAGAAGGGAAGCTAAAGGCAAATGAAAAAGGAAAGATATACCCATTTGAATGCAGAGTTCCAAAGAACAGCAAGGAGAGATAAGAAAGCCTTCCTCAGTGATCAGTGCAAAGAAATAGAGGAAAACAATAAAGTGGGAAAGACTAGAGATCTCTTCAAGAAAATTAAGAGATACCAAGGGAACACTGCATGCAAAGATGGGCACAATAAAGGACAGAAATGGTATGGACCGAACAGAAGCAGAAGATACTAAGGAGAGGTGGCAAGAACACACAGAAGAACTATGTGAAAAAGATCTTCATGACCCAGATAACCACGGTGGTGTGACCACTTAGCTAGAGCCAGACATCCTGGAACACGAACTCAAGTGGCCTTAGGAAGCACCACTACGAACAAAGCTAGTGGAGGTGATGGAATTCCAGTTGAGCTATTTCAAAACCTAAAAGATGATGCTGTGAAAGTGCTGCACTCAATATGTCAGCAAATTTGGAAAACTCAGCAGTGGCCACAGGACTGGAAAAGGTCAGTTTTCATTCCAATCCCAAAGAAAGGCAATGCCAAAGAATGCTCAAACTACTGCACAACTGCACTCATCTCACACGCTAGTAAAATAATGCTTAAAATCCTCCAAGCCAGGCTTCAACAGTACGTGAACTGTGAACTGCCAGTGTTCAAGCTGGATTTAGAAAAGGCAGAAGAACTTGAGATCAAATTGCCAACATCCGTTAGATCACAGAAAAAGCAAGAGAGTTCCAGAAAAATACCTACTTCTACTGTATGGATTATACCAAAGCCTCTGACTGTATGGATCACAACAAACTGTGGAAAATTCTCAAAGAGATGGGAATACCAGACCACTTGACCTGCCTCCTGAGAAATCTGTATGCAGGTCAAGAAGCAACGGTTAGAACTGGACATGGAACAACAGACTAGTTCCAAATCAGGAAAGGAGTATGTCAAGACTGCATACTGTCACCCTGCTTATTTAATTTCTATGCAGAGTACATTGTGAGAAATGCTGGACTGGATAAAGCACAAGCGGGAATCAAGATTTCTGGGAGAAATATCAGTAACTTCAGATATGCAGATGACACCACCCTTACAGCAGAAAGCGAAGAAGAACTAAAGAGCCTCTTGATGAAAGTGAAAGAGGAGAGTGAAGTTGGCTTACAACTCAACATTCAGAAAACTAAGATCATGGCACCCGGTTTCATCACTTCAGGGCAAACAGATGGGGAAACAATAGAAACAGTGAGAGACTTTATTTTCTTGGGCTCCAAAATCACTGCAGATGGTGATTGCAGCCATGAAATTAAAAGACGCTTACTCCTTGGAGGAAAAGCTATGACCAACCTAGACAGCATATTAAAAAGCAGAGACATTACTTTGCCAACAAAGGTCTGTCTAGTGAAAGCTATGGCTTTCCAGTAGTCAAGTATGGATGTGAGAGTTGGACTATAGAGAAAGCTGAATGCCGAAGAATTGATGCTTTTGAACTGTGGTGTTGGAGAAGATTCTCTAGAATTCCTTGCACTGCAAGGCAATCCAACCAGTCCATCCTAAAGGAAATCGGTGCTGAATATTCATTGGAAGGACTGATGCTAAAGCTGATGTGAAGAACTGACTCACTGGAAAAGACCCTGTTGCTGGGAAAGATTGAAGGCAGGCAGAGAAGGGTATGACAGAGGATGAGATGGCTGGATGGCATCACCAACTCAATGGACATGAGTTTGAGTAAGCTTCGGGAGTTGGTGATGGACAGGGAAGCCTGGTATGCAGTAGTTTATGGGGTCACAAAGAGTCAGACACAACTGAGCGACTAAACTGAACTGCTCCCCACTTACTTGAAAATTTAGCACTCTGGAGAATTCTTCCATGGAGGGGAAATGAGACATAATTATGTCAACATGCCCATCACACGCACATACAGTCCTGGGCACTTTACATGATCTCACTTAATCCTGACAACAAACCTGAAAGTTTTTCCCACAACTGAGGCTGCAAGGCTAAAAAATTAGCCTAAGGTTATAGACCTATAAATGGAAGACAAAGAATTCAAGTCTGGGCTCAGCTCCAAAGCCTGCACTCTTTCCTCCCCACACACTGCTTCAGAGTTACTGTGAACCTTCTTCGCACCAACCATTTTGTCATCATTGCCTCAGTCCACACATTTTCGGGGTGCTGTCCAACAAACACACAGGACTTTTAAAGACTCAATTACTAGCTTCTGTCCTTAAAAAAAAGAAGCAACTTCTTAACCACAGAATGATCAAAAGTATCAGATCATCCATCTTAGATCAATCAGAATCTCACCTCACTATATAAAACCAGAAGGGAAAGAAATTTATATTTACATCTTGGGACTTTTTTTTTTAAGAGAAACATTATGTTTTAAAGGTAAAGCTTAGCATACTCCAGTATCGGGCATGACCTGAAGTCGAAACAGGAGGGGTGGGTAGGTCACCCCCATGGAACTTCATGTAGTGAAGAGGATGAGTAAGACGAGCATCCAACAGAAGAGTAAAAGCCAGGAGACTGAAAAAACACAGCCCACCAGGGCACTACTCATTCCTCCTGCTCTGATCCACTCTTCAACCAGGGATCCCATCAGGCCTTTGTCTGCCTCCTTCCTGAGTAGGCCAGAGATCTCATCTGAACGGCCTTCCCACAACAGTGTCCTACTCCAGGTGGCCAGGCAGGAGTACCAGACCAGAGCTTTCTCCTGGGATATTGACGCAGCAGCCAAGTTTGCTGGCATTGGGGCTGCCACAGTTGGCGTGGCTGGCTCAGGGCTGGCAGCCTGATCACTGGCTATGCTAGGACCCCGTCTCTGAAGCAGCAGCTCTTCTCCTAGGCTATTTTGGGCTTTGCCCTGTCTGAGGCTGTGGAGCTCTTCTGTTTGATGGGTGCCTTTCTCATCATCTTTGCCATGTGAAGCTCCATGGAGGTCACCTACCCATCCCTGCTGCTTAGACTCCAGGCCATGCCTGGTGCTGGAGTGTGCTAGGCTTTACCATTAAATAAAACGTTTCTCTAAAACAGCAAACAAACAAAACACACACAAACTGAACTCCTAAGAATAAAAACTAAGAAAATACATCTGCAACAAACTTACAAGCCTTATGTATGAGTACTTCGACTGCCACTTCCATAGACAGTGGTTCATATCGACAGTGCTTCTCATTCTATCTGCCCTACCTTGAGTTAAATGGCAACTTAGTATAACAAAAAAACAGTAATTTTGACCAACATGAGATACACCATTCATTTTTCTTAGCCACTAAATCAACTATGTGCATGCTGGTTTCGCATAAACTCTTGAAAACTCACTTCCATGTGAAAATGGCTCTAATAAATACTTAGTATACATTAACAATAAATGTTTGCTTTCTGGACCCAATAACCAGGTGAAATAAATAGACCTTTAGAGTATTTGGAGGTGAGGTCTTCTGCTAAAACCAGGATGGCCTGGAGCTGTCTGCACCTAATGACAAGGTCACCCTACCTTGTTTTGACTTGACCTACCTTGTTTTTCTTGCCTCGGGGTTCACTTAGAGCCAGTTCATCTTGAAGTAGCTCGACCCTTTTGGCAAGTTGCAGATTTCGGAATGTCAAACTGTCCATTTCCTGCTGCAGTTTCCTCAGTGATTGATCCTTCATTTTCAGTTGTTCCTACATGAAAGTGAAAACAGACCATTCCTTGTAATTTAGTCTTAACATTTGAAAATAATGAAAAAAAATTTTTTTTGTTTCACCAAAATATAATCAAAACCACTTTCTTTAAGGAATTAAAATTATATGTTTATCATTCCAGTTCCTATGGTATTTTAGCTCTGCTTGATGCCAAGATCATTTTCTAGTCCAACCAAGCAAATTTAAAAATAAAGCTAAAGAGTATACTACTGAAATAACATTTATCAACTTAAATATCCACAACAACGTGTTTTTATATAATGTTGTTATTCATGTGTTTGGTGGTGAGGAGTCACAAAGTCTGAGGCTACAATTTTATAAATCTGAAATTTTAAAGAGAATCTCAGACTCACTGATGATGCCCTTCATTAAGCAAGAATGGAAGAAATATATTTGTATTCACTTTTTCCTATAAATCCTCCTTGAATTTAAGTCAGTCAAAATGAAGTCTTTTCAATACTCTGAACTTTAAATTATTCTGATTTGTCAAAGATAAAAATCAATATTATCCTAACAAAGAATATTTTCCAGATATCCTAACAAAGAATATTCTCAGTTCACTTTAAAGTGAAAATAGGAACAAAATCTAAAATCTAAACAACACATCTTCTACTGACCATGCTGTACTGTTTATACCACGAAAGGGTAACGAGATGGGAAACAAGAGAAATATTTAGCTTCACTCTATCTTTAAAAATAATATTATTCTAACTACATTTTCCTTATGAGAGTCTGGTAACTTTGTGTTCACTGGTAATCAAACACAAATGGCCATATACTACCATAAATTGAAAGATCTGTATGTTTACTTACATTGAAAAACCACGATAAAGCTAAGAAGAGGTCAAGTTTTAATGAACAGGGGATTTTTCTAATTGGAGGATAATTGCTTTACAATGTTGTGGTGGTCTCTGCTGTACATCAGCTGAATCAGTCACAATTGCATACATATCCCGTCCCTCTTAAGCCTCCCTCTCCCACTCCATCCCACCCCTCTCGGCTGTCACCGGGCGCCAGGCTGGGCTCCCTGTGTTATATAGCAGCTTCCTACTACTTACCTATTCTACACATGATAGTGTATATATATATCAATGCAACTTTCCCAATTTTGAATAGTGGATTTTGAAACAGCAACCTAAAAACCAGAAGCTGGTTCTGCAATCTGCTAACATTATTTGCATGTTGAGGGCATGGCTAGAGGGATAGAATATGTTCCCATTAAAGAGAAAAAAAATTTCCTTTTCTGTGGCTTGTTCAGTAAATCCTTAATGTTTACTTGAAGTTCAATGGTAAACTTAGGCCCAGCCCATGTCCAAATTATTATATATTTCAATTTAAGGAAATTCAAATCAATAAATGCTCATTGTATCTAACAACTCATTGAAGAGACAAACCTAATATAATCAAAATGCCTACTGCAATGAACAGTTCAATTAAAAGTAATCTCTTTATATCCCTATAATTAATTAATCACTATGTGACTAATATTCCAACCCCATTAACCAATCATTGATTTCAGAAGACATCCATCCCAATCTCTCTATAAATTCTAGTTCCTGCAATGACAATGATGACAGTGGCATGTGCCCTCACAGGGCTGTTGTGAAAACTGAGAAAATGGGTGTAAGGTGCCGAGCGCAATGCCTGCCTGACACACGGCGCGTACTCAGGGAATAGGGCCTGCTGTCAGCATCACCGGAGTCACCGCCACAGCCACTATCAGAGTTAATCAGACACAATCAGCCCCAGCAGGCTGTGAAACACCAGTGTGGGCGACTAAGATGAGTTAGGAAATACTTTCCCCGGGGATAGGTTTTAAACATCATAAGGAGATAATGATTAATTTCTTCAGTGATTTAGACAAAATAGTAACTTAGCTAACAAATCCTGACTATAAAGCTCAATTTTAATCATCTCAGCTTAAGTGCAGAGAGCTTAGGGTAAGGTGCTCTGAACCATCTCAGCCCCGAGTCGGTGGAATAGCACCCAAGGAGGGAGCACCCCTCAACAGACAGATTTCTCTAGAGAAGGGTCCAACACTAGCCAAGTGAGAGGACGCATCTCACGATCTTGGTGACCTGAGTGGAAATACACAGGAGATGTGTCACTGGTTGCAGGCTACTCCAGAAAGACAGAAAAGTAAAGGGACTCCTAAGCCCTTTTCTCTGAAGAGGGAGCAAGGGAGGCAGTGAAAGAATGAGGGAGGCAGTGTATTTTACTGACACTTGGCCAAGAAGGAATCCATATCCTAGAATCAATTTATCCAATTAAGAATATCACCAAGCAATATCTGGGCTTCCCTGGTGGCTCAGATGGTAAAGAATTTGCCTGTAATTGTGGGAGACCTGGGTTCAATCCCCGGGTCAGAAAGATTCCCCTGGAGAAGGGAATTGCAACCCACTCCAGTATTCTTGCCTAGAGAATCCCATGGACAGAAGAGTGTGGCAGGCTATAGTCCCTGGAGTCACAAAGAGTTGTGGTGTTACAGGTGCTGATGGATCACTCAAACAGTCATCATTAACACGGGTTACCACTATTAAAGAGCTCAACCCAAAGCAAGATTAATGCACTAAATGATTCACACTTTCAGACCCATTTATTAGGGGACAATCTGCTGAATGCTAGCAATATAAACATGAGTATGACCCGGTCCCTATAGAGTGCTATCAGATGAAGCCAGATAAGAAGCTTCATTAATCCTGACGAATTTAGCTATGAAAGACACTGGGTATGAGAGAAATGCATTAGATACAGTCCAATAAGACATTTTTGTAATCTCTAGCTTGTCAAAGCACATCACATTCATACCTAAATAAGTATGAAAGTTAAACACAAAAAAATTCCATTACCCTCCCCTATCCCTAGGGAATCAGTATCAGAGTTGGGAATTTAACCCACAAAATGGGCTGAATTCCCTGCTGTAAGCTTCACCAAACACTAACCTAACTCTCACAACACACTCAGTAGCCTACCTTCAAAGCAGCAGAATTCGCTTGTTCATCCACGACACCTTTCTTCAAGACCTGATTCTGAGCCCGGAGCTGAAAACAGAGGAAGTAATAATTAATTTTTAATATAAAGCAACCACTTATAGCAAAGAAATCACTTACCATCACTGTATAGGAATCTGTACACTGAGTAACTATCAGCTCACATACAAATGAGCCCTCAAGAGGAAAGCAGAGATCGCCAGTCTGCCATTCTACAAATAAGGACATCGAGGCTGAGCTGCCCAATGACATAAAACTAAACAATGCAAACTTAAGACTAAAATCCAGGTCTCTTGACTTCCCATATACAAGGATCTTTCCATGAAACCAACCACCTCCCTAAATAAAAACGAATACAACAGGGTACTAAGTATGCCATTTTCCTTGTAACTCTTGACATACCGTTCACCTATAAAATACATACAACTGGACTAAGTATGGAATAAGAATTCTACAGCGAACCGAAGTATAGGGCAGCAACACACACAGCAGGATACTGGGCCTAATATTAGCCATGCAACCATCACTCACTTCAGCCTCAAGAATGGAGGACTTACAATCAGGCATCAGCAGAAGCAGTGTACAAAAGCAACTGAGAAGCAAGTTCAATTCAGAAATTAATAACAATAGCAGCTAGCATTTGAATGCTCATTACATACCAGGCACTGTCCTAAATACTTTACATATACTACCTCATGAATCCTCACAATCAGATGAAATAGGTGCTATAATTACCATGACTTCACACATGAGCAAACTAAGGTACAGAGACTAAGGTACAGAGAAGTTCAGTGGCAATGCTGACAATCAGACACCAGTAGTTTTGACTCCAGGTGTAATGCCATTTAGACAATACTGGCTATTGTTTTATAAAGCTAAATACAAATGAGAACAGTAGTAGGCTGGTGAGATGGAAGAAGTTTGGAGGGAGGCAGGACTTGGGTTTCGTTGGGAGTTAACTTTTTAAAGTTGGGGTCGACCTTTATCTTAAAATATACAAAGCAAAATTATACAGCTTGATGGATTTTTATCCATGGTTACATCTGTATCACCATCCTAGCAGGGTTTTGAAAGATAAATCTTCTGTAGTAATCCCCTTCTGTAATTATCAACAAGCACAACACAGCATGTGAGGACAAATACACCAGCACGGCGTAGCTGACACCAAAGGGTACACACAGACAGGCTGAGGACTCAGCACAAGGGCCGTGAAAGACCAGGTTCTTTTCTGAGAAACTAAATGAATGGGATGATTTTATCTATGAGCTAAAAAAAAAAAGCTATTTCTAATTCTGTGCAGCTCACATCTGTGTCTTGAAAACAGAAATGACCCTTTTCTGTGCCAAAAGAATAGGAATATTTGAATGCTAAACTTTAAACTGAGCCTTTGATACTCAAGAGAAAACTGAGCTAAGATTCTAAGAAAAACAGGAACACTGCAGGATATTCAGTTTGAGCAAGACAGACTAAAAAGATGAGCTGCTTCTATTTGCAGAAAGTTAGAGATCAGAGTTCACTACCACAAAAGAAGATCCAAATTTTGCTCTGTCACTTCCTAGACAATATAAACTAGAGATACTCACTTAATCTTTCTGAGTCTCGGTTATATGGTCTACAAAATGGGGCAATACATCTATCCTATCTTCATTCTTCTGAGGTTGTTGTGAGAATCAGATAAGAAATCTATGTCAAAGCACTTTCTAAATGATAACATGCCCCACAAACAGTAACAGACCTCTTATTAAGAGAGTAGAATCAAAGGGACAACAGATACACTTCTAGTTTGCCATATGACCAGGAGCTAACTGTGGTTCAGATCATCAGATCCTAAAAGAAGATGCTGTTAAAGTGCTGCACTCAATATGCCAGTACATTTGGAAAACTCAGCAGTGCCCACAAGACTGGAAAAGGTCTATTTTCATTCCGATCCCAAAGAAAGGCAATGCCAAAGAATGTTCAAACTACTGCACAATTGTACTCATTTCACATGCTAGCCAGGTAATGCTCAAAATCCTTCAAGATGGGCTTCAATAGTATGTGAAGCAATAACTTCCAGATGTACAAAAAGGATTTAGACAATGCAGAGGAACCAGAGATCAAACTGCCAACAACTGTTGCATCATAGAAAAAGCAAGAGAATTTCAAAAACACATCTACTTCTGCTTCATTGACTATGCTAAAACCTTTGATTGTGTGGATCACAATGAACTGTGGAAAATTCCTAAAGAGATGAAAATAACAGACCACGTTACCTGCCTTCTGAGAAACCTGCATTGCAAGTCAAGAAGCAACAGCTAGAACCGGACATGGAACAACAGACTGGTTCAAAATTGGGAAACGAGTACGTCAAGGCTGTATATTGTTACCCTGCTTATTTAACTTATATGCAGAGTACATCATCATAAGGCTTCCCTTGTAGATCAGACAGTAAAGAATCTGTCTGCAATGCTGGAGACCCAGGTTCAATTCCTGGGTCAGGAAGATTCCCTTGGAGAAGGAACTGGCAACCTACTGCAGCATTCTTGCCTGGAGAATCCCCATGGACAGAGGAGCCTGGCAGACTACAGTCCATGGGGTTGCAAGAGCTGTACAAGATTTAGTGATTAAACCTCCACATCATGTGAAATGCTGGGCTGGATGAAGCCCAACCTGCAATAAAGATTGCCAGAAATATCAATAACCTCAGATATGCAGATGATACCACCTTAATGGCAGAAAGCAAAAAGGAACTAAAGAGCCTCTTGATAAAGGTGAAAGAGGAGAGTGAAAATGCTGGCTTAAAACTCAACATTCAAAAAACTAAGATCATGACATCCAGTTCCATCACTTCAAGGCAAATAGATGGGGAAAAAGTGGAAACAGTAACAGACTTTATTTTCTTGGGCTCCAAAATCACTGTGGACAGTAACTCCAGCCATGAAATTAAAAGACGCTTGCTCCTTAGAAGAGAAGCTATGACAAACCTAGACAGTGGACTAAAAAGCAGAGACATCACTTTGCCTACAAGAGTCCATATAGTCATAGGTATGGTTTTTCTAGTAGTCATGTATGGATGTGAGAATTAGACATAAAGAAGGCTGAGTGCTGAAGAACTGATGCTTTCGAACTATGGTGCTGGAGAAGACTTTTGAGGGTCCCCTGGACAACAAAGAGATCAAACTAGTTAATCCTAAAGGAAATCAACCCTGCATATTCACTGGAAAGACTGATGCTGAAGCTGAAGCTGTAATACTTTGGCCACCTGATTCGAAGAACCAACTCACTGGAAAAGACTCTGATGCTGGGAAAGACTGAAGGCAGGAGGAGAAGAGGGTGACAGAGAATGAGACAGTTGGTTGACATCATCAACTCAATGGACAAAGGTTTCAGCAAACTCTGGGAGACAGTGAAGGAAAGGGAAGTCTGGTGTGCTGCAGTCCATGGGGTCACAAAGAATTGGACATGACTGAGTGAACAAAACAAAGGGACTATGCTAATGATATAAGGAGAGAAAGAAGTAAAAGAAATGGTCTCTGTTTTTAAAAAGTTTACAATTTAAAGGGAAGAGAAAAGATAATTAATAATACCAACATTTCCTGCTTAAAAAAATAATGTGGACATTAAATTTTCTAGAACAGGGGTTATCAAACTAAGGTCCCTGAGCCAAACTGAACAGCTACCTATTTTAAAGTTTTGCAGGAACACAGCCAAACTCATTATTGATGAATTGTCTATGATTTCTTTTGAGTTATAGTGACAGAAATGAGTAAATGCAATGGAAACCATATGGCCTCAAGCCTAAAATATTTACCATTAATATTAGGTTCTTTACACTCTGCTCTAGAAGTTCAGAAGAGAGACTAAACCACCACTTTAGTACTTTTTCCATCACATAGTATATTACCTTTTAAGCAACATCATATATTTTTGGATAACGCGCTACCTAGGTAACAGAATTCAATAAATATTTTCAAACTCATATAGCCAAAGGACAGCAGTACTACTTGAGGGTGTAGGTTTCATTTCGTACCCCCATTCTAACTTTGATCTATGATCATCTTCTTTGTGCAATCTTTAGAACCTCTTACTGACTGCCTCAAAGACTAAGGATGAAGTTCGAAATTTGCTGAACTGATAATTTTCTGCAGGACCAGAATTGCATCCATTTTAAAAACAAACAAGCAAACAGGAAAACCTCACCTGTAATTTCTAAGGCACACTTAGAAGCTATTTAAAGCAAACTGAACAGCCTACTTTGTCAAAAAAAGCAAAATTAAATTTTTCAAATTACTGATGTTTGGAAGTTAATCTGATCATAAAGAAAAATTATTTTGATTTTCCTTTGGAAAATACTGTTGGGTGAATTGATAACAATTCAAACAGTGTTTCAGTGGTACCACTCAACAGAAAAATGCAGCCTTTAGAAATACTTATCTAAAATCCCTTTCCAAAAAAAATTTAAAAAAATAAAATAAAATAAAATCTCTTTCTATTACTTGGTAGGTAGAAAAGGATGAGCTCAGCCAACCCCATTGCCTTGTTAATTACATTTGGCATTTGGCATCTTCCTGCATTTCAGCCACTGCCACATCTCTGCATTACTGACCAGCATCTTGTCAAATATAGATACTGTTGTGACCAGTCTCATCCTTCAGAATCTTATCTTTCTCCTCACCAGCATTCACCACAGTGGGAAGGCAAATGCAGTGTTTGTCTTAGAAACAGTTATAGATGGTCACTAATGCCTCTAGGAGACGAGTGTGGAGACTCCAGTGGACGGGGACGCAACTGAGAAACAACTGCCCTCAAGTCTCCATTAGGACAGGGAAATTCTCCAGGAGATGATAGAGCCTATTTCCAGCAGCTGTGCCATGCACTACTATTCCATTCAGTAGAGAAATGGTCCTCTGAATCCCAACTCAACTCATTTTTCATAGTCTTGTGATCTTCTGACTAGCTTTACCTTGACTCAAAAACATAACCTGTTCTCATGTTGACCAACCAAACCCCAACTGTTCCTCTACAGCCTATTTCCGGCTCTGATACTACTTCCATAGATTTTTCCCAACCAT